GGACCATGGGGATCAAGGGAGTATCGGGGTTTAGGTGGCATAGCCTTCGGGTCTATGTGAGTATTCTCCGGGGGGTAATAAGTAGTGGTGGTGCCTAGTACTAGTCTGTTGAAGCTGCACATTTGAACAAGTTTCTGTTGAGGGTTGTATATTGTTGGCTGTAGGTCGTGGGGCTGCGCGATCTAGACGGACATCTCTCAAGCACGGTGCAGCGTAAAGGGTTTTAGCTCAGCCACTGCAATGAGCTGCAGCAGCAAGAACAAAACCAACCCTCATCACCGAACTCGAACTACTAAACCACCCTCTCATCAGCACTCCTACATCCAAGGAAGCATATCACCACCGTGGGGGAGCCTATGCCATGCTCTGTGGCGAACCGCACCGTGGGCATGCCGCAGCGCGATTGCATGTGATTTACCCAGACCCCCGGGAGGATCCAAAAAGTAGATCCTTTAATGGGGGTTCCTATAAAGTACCCTTAGTAGTATAGGGCCCCAAATTAGGAGATCTACTTTCTAGATCCTCCCGGGGGTCTGGGTAGGTCCCTGCGGTTTTGGGTTTACCTGAACCACAAAACCGCGCAGGCTGATAATGGCTTTTTAGTGGTGTCGGGTACTTCCTAGGGTTCCTTTCAAGGGATCTCTAAAGGGCTCTATATGGGATCTATGATAGGGTTCTAATAATAGGGGCCTTCATAATTATAATACGGTACTTTTGATGGTTGCGGTAGGGTGTGAGAGTCGACACCGGGAGCAGGTCGGCAGGCTATAGGCCTGAACCCTAAGGGCCCATGTACCCAAATAGTATGTAATTCCTTTGGCCCTAAAGTTGTCCCCATGTAGGTACTTTGGGGCCGAAGTATACGCCATTTGGGCACGTGAATGTTTAGGGGAGGGTAGGGGCTGATTTCGGGGACAAGATGTGTCACGAAGTCGAATGACAACAATGATCGTAGCTAAGGCTACCTCTTAGATAGTGAACGGAGGAACTTTAAACTTTTTGGCTTTATATATGAGCTCTCTATCTTAGAAAGTTTGAACTTTTGGGGGCCCGGTTGTTGAAGAAGAGGACGTCCTCTGATTCTATCCAGGACCCCGCTACACCTCGGAGCCCCCAAAGTTGATTGACTCTAAAGATCCTGGCAGCCCCACATGGGAGTTTCCGAAAATTCGGGGTACCTTATTCTGGGGATCCCTATAATAAGGATCCTACTATTTAGGGTACTATTTAGGGTACTATTTTAGGGCCCCCCATTTCCGGAAGCTCCCACATGCATGTCATGTTAGAAGCTGATGCCTACAACTTTGTCCAAAAGCTTGAACCTAAAACATTGGATCCCCACAGTGAACTCAAAAAAGCGCCCTGCGGAACCCCATATCTTGAACCTTACCTGGCCCAAGTAGAACAAAAAGCATTTCATGGGTGTTGGGCCATTGTCTTACATACCTTTCGTGGTTTAGGTAGCCCCAAAACGCCACCCCAAACCCCTAAACTTTAACCTTGTAAGCCTTAAATCACCAAATCCAGAAAAGAAAACAACATTTGAGCCACAGAAAACCCCAAGCCCTGAAACGTTAAGCCCTAAACCCTGCAAACCTGAAGTCCCAAAGCCCCGACGAGGAACCTCAAAGCCACACTTCGAAACTTCTACGGAGCCTCCGAGAGCTCTTGCACCATCTACCAGGCAGCTTCAGAGCTGATGTGATCGCATGTTTAGGACCGGGCTTGTGGGGTTTATCGGGTTTTAGGGTGCTGTGGCTTTGTGTTTGAGGTTTGTATTAGGTTTTAGGTTGATAGTTTATATAGTATGTGAGTGTGCGTGCGAGGTTTATTAAAAGGTTTCGGGCTTCCAATGCTAAGGGTCAATAAAGTTTCAATTTGGGTTGCCCTTGTGCGCTCTGGTTCCGCTCGATGCTCCTCTACGGCTTTATGGCATGGGCTTGCTTGCTGGATGTTTGAACAGGGTATTTCATTTTGCCAACGTCGTGTGATATGGGTGGTTCTCAAAAATTGGGGTCCCTAATTGGGTACCCTAAACAATGGGTACCGTATTCTAATCGGGACCCAAAAAGGGACCATAATTTTGACAACCACCCATATAAAGGCCTAGATGTCGACCAATGCCAGTCCTGGGGTTCATCTTTGCAGTTATACTAGAAGTTAACCCCCCGAACTCCGCTATTGACATTTCAGCGCATATATATATATATATATATATATATATATATATGTATTTATATATCTGTGTATATATCTATATGTATATATGCATCTATACATATATATGTATATAATTACGTATATATACATATATGTATACACATACATACACATGTATACACAAAGCTCGACGAAAGTTCGACTAATATGAAACTTTTGGAAAAGGGTTTCATCGGCGAGCGGGCCGGTAGTTGGTTGACGGTGAATTCGAGTTTAGTGTTTATGGGTAGGGTTCGAATCAAGCCGGCAACACACCCTACCTGCACAGGGCCGACAACTTAAACCCATAGTCATTCTTGCCATTGTTCGGAGGGTCTTGTTTGCTTCGTGGCTTGGGACCGGAAGAACAAGAAAGCTCTGGTCTGGTCCTGATTCCAGAATCCTGATGCTGCGCTTAGTTGAGCATGAGATGGAACCGACCAGTGTAATGCTGGATCTTCTGTGACGCACAGGGGTAGGACCAGTGTTACACGAGATGTGCCAAAAGGGATGCGGAATCCCAAAACCCAATTGCGTGTATAGCTCAGAACGCCAATCTCGGCGTAGCTCATCCATGCCTTGGAGAGCTGCGTGAAACTTATGATGTCCTGCAAAGCCCGGAACCTCAACCATAGGCTCCAAGATGAACCCAGGCCCGAAACTTCCTTCAGGTGCCTTCCCACGGGATCGATCTTCGGGCGGGGCACTCTGCAGAGCTTCACTGATGTCTATAGGATTATCTGTTTATGTGTACGTGTGTATAGATTTTAATGTATGGGTACCTATTGTACATCAGTACATAAATATACATATATATATATATATATATACAAGTATGTACACGACATTCGCCCGAAATCTGCTGACTGTTCCGGGGCTTGGTTACGTTTCAGTGTTTCGGTGCCTGTTTGGGTCTCTTGCAACGCACGCAGTTGAGGCTCTTGTTTCATGGTTTCCCAAGTTTACGAAGCTTCGAAAGCCCATCGATTCGACACATTGAGCTTAGGTTTTCTGTTCTGCCAGTAAGCAAAGGAGGCGTAATGTAGGAACCTGATTAAGAAACCTTGGGCCTTTATTAGGATTCCTTATATGAATCCTACTATTTTGGGGTTGTAGGCCCAGGGTTTCTTAATCAGGTTCCTACATTAGCCCAAGTATTTGTTATTGCATCCGAGTTCCATGCAAACGATCCCGTCAAGTCCCCCACCTACAAAGCTACTGGAATCCAAGACTCACAGGTCTAACGGCCAAACACCTGAAACGACAAAATCCGCAATTCATACACTCTGCGGAGCGCTGTTCCACTCCTCGGCTTCCACGCAGGTCTTCCCGAACAAGGTGCCTGCAGGCCATCCGCAGCCCCATGCAGACATCTACCTGATGGCACCTGGGGCACTTTGGCCGTCTTGAAGAAATTTGAATTCGGCCTCGCACGGCCCTCTAGGCAGGGTTGCTTGTCTTGGACACATTCAGCAAGTGTAAAGGGTGAACGGGTGAACGCCATTTGGAGTTGCAGTAGTGTTTGCGGTAGCACTCTTAAGGCAGGGATGGGAACAGGGACCCTAGAGCCTCACCCATGTGGCTGGCGCGAGGGCAAGGTTCTATGGTTGGTTTCGGGTTTCCGTGTTCGGAAGTCTGGACCACTATGGAGTTCTACCTTCGTATAGATATATGTCATTCATGCAGATGATGGTATCGGCTATCGGCTCCGTGTAACTAGAGCTATGCATACGTCAGCATGTGCATGGTCATATCAGAACGATGCACCTGTATAGAGGTATATGTTTAGGATTGTTTAGGTGTATGCATTCACATATGTACACGTTTTTTTGCTTTTGTATGTTCATGTTTGTCCACGTACACGTACATGTATGTGCATGTGAATGTATATGGGTATATACCTGTACATGTACGTACATGTATACGAAAATGTATGCGAATATGCACACGAAGACGTACACGTGTACGTGTATACGTATACATGTAGCATATGTATGTACGTATGTATGCCTGTCGGTAAGTACGTATGTGTGTACGTATGCATGTACATATGTATGTCTGCCTGTGTGTGTACACATCTATGTGCATTTGTAGGTGTATGTGGTATGTGGTACGTGGTACTTTGATGTGTGTGTGTGTCTGTGCGTATGTGCATGCGTTTGTCCTATGTGCGTGTGTGTGTGTGTGTGTGTGTGTGTGTGTGTGTGTGTGTTTGTGTCTGTGTCCGTGTGTGGTGTGTGTATGTGTATGTAGTTGTATGTATTTGTATGTGTATATATATATATGTGTGTGTTTATGACTTTATGTAGGCAGGTATGTATGTATATACGCGAGATGTATGTGTGTAGTGTGTGCGTATGAGCAAATATGTGTGTATTATGTGTCTACTTATGTACGTAGGTACGCATGGATGGATGGACGGGTGGATGGATGGATGGATGGATGGATGGATGGATGGATGGATGGATACATACAGTAATGCGTGCGTACCTACATGCACAAGCATATGCCACAAATCTTACTAACATCAGAACGACATCGCAATTTGCATGCACCGCAAATAGCATATGGCTGTGAAGCAGTGGCACAGTAGGCAGGCCACGAAGTTCTCCCTGGCACGCGTCGACTCCACGCAATCCGTTTCAAGGTGCACTGCCTGCTTCTGCGCAGGAGTATCCACAGAATGCATACTACAGTAGCCTGTTCGTGCTTCATGTGAGGTAAGAAGCAGCACACCCATGCTCCTCTTGACTTCCACAGTCAATCCACGAGCAGATTACCTTCCGTAACTGTTCGGGTCGATGCAAGATGCAGTGGCATTGATCCTGGCAAGACCTTCTGAAGTCTCGGATGGATTCGGCTGGAGCGCTGGCTACTTACATTGCCTTTGGCACGACTACCGGGTACTCCAATCTTTCTTCGATGATGTCGCCGTTCCTGTGAGCCCAGCTTCCTGTTGTGACGATGCCCTGTACAAGGCAAGTGCACTTGGCCGAATACAAGACTTTTTCAGGCAGCCCTCCCAGATATTTATCCTGGTGCCATTGGCACATGGCAGTAGCAGATCTGGAGCCCTATGTCTTCGCGAGGGCTCGTTGTCCTTCGAAGACATCATTCTGTGCTGGATTGTAGCCGGACATGTGATTGATGCATCCAAGAAACTGTGCCTTGTTGCCGGTTTGTCGTTTTTCTTGATGCAAGTTGACAATGAGAAACACTGTTTCAGTACGTATGCATGTACACGGTGTGTAAATACAAATGTATGCTTGGGTGTATACATGCTTGCCTCTTTCTGTCTCTGTACCTCTGCAGGAAGATGTCCGATTTGCAGGGGTGGAGTAAACCTTCACATGCTTTGTTCAAGATACAGAGAACCGAACCTTCCACAATGCTACGGTTCAGGAGCAGGTCATGTATGTAACTATGGTAGCTTTTTGTTTTCATCTTCGCCAGCAAGAGGTTTATCCTTGCCGACTTCTGTTACAGTGGTATCTGGGTGTGCAAGGCAGCCAGACTGCGATTGCCCAATGTCTTGGTTCAGGCATCATGCCCTGTGAGAGGCCTTGCCTTCGAAGATGTCGCTGATTGCGGTGCAGATAGCAGCTTCATTTGCAAGTGGGTCGTACAGCAACGCTGGCCGAAGCTGGGAAGAGTCCTCGTTTTGCCGCAGTTCTATCCATACTCGGCCATGACGGTCCATGGCTTGCGCTTGCATAAGATGCCCTGGTCGCTTCAACTGATGTCCAGAAAGCCCGAGGAAACGAGGTATGTTAGAGCCTTGAGTTCCGGGAGCCTGTTTTCGCTAAGGTCACGCTTGATGATGCTTGACCATCGAACTCAGATCGATGTTCTGACTCAGATGACTGCCAAACCTTTGCCTGAATTCTCTTGCTTTGCAAGCAAAGCGCGCCACTTGTGGTGCTTCCGCTTGGTCCAAGAGCAGTTGGCGGCATTGGCACGGCCCCACACGACTTTGCTGCTGAAGGAAACTTTGCTTCATGACACAAGAACTTGCAGCATCTTCCAGGAGACACGCGACTTATTGGCAGCGAAGCAATGGGAAGCGGCCAAAACGTTCCAGGATCGCAATTGGGCTTCGGTCAGCATGGATTTCTTGGACACCCGCATGGATGTGGAACTGGTTTTTGAAGTCCAGTGGCATTTTCGGCATTATTATACGGGCAACTATGACCGAGCATTGCAGCATTTGGACGGCTGCTTGGATAGTCTCCGGGCCTGCCATGAATATCAGGATGTGAACTCGGTCACAGCATTGATTTACGCGTGGAAGGCAGCAAATTGGCGGAGCAAGGCCAAAACGCTGCCGGAACCAGGGCTTCAGCACTGCTTTCAGCAGGCCTTCATGTGCATCAACTTGATGCACAAATATGCAAGTGGGACTCAGTTGAGCCCCATGATTGCAGCAGAAGTGGCATTAGTTTGTGGTTGCTGGAAGAAGGATGCGGCCCAGACAGGCAAGGCGGACTTCATCGGTGAATTGTTGAACACAAGTGAGAGTGACATTTACTCCAGCCTGGTCCAAGAAGTACACCGCGGGATTTCATGCTGCTGTGCTGCAGGCTGGCGTGATGGCTATCTGAACAACACTCTGACTCTGTGCCACGCTCAGCTCTTGCAGGCTAGCTCGTTGAATCAAGTTCTTGCAGTGGAGGCCATGTACCGTGAAATGCCGATGCAACATGCAACTAGCCGGACCAGAAAGAGGTGCGAGCTGTTCCTTGCAGAGGCATTAATTTACCAATTGGAGACGTGGACAGGCGATCTTGCTGACAGTGCTCGGGTAGATACCTGCGAAGAAGCGCAGAGCACGCTTCGCGAGCTTACTCTTGCTTTTCAAAAGAGCAAGGAGCTTCCGAAGTGCCAGAAGCTTATGGGTAGGCTGGCGAAGGTTTCGATGTTCCGTGACGTTTAGTCAGAGTCACGGGTCATGCACGTTTTAGTGGAGTTGCTCAGTGAGCAGCCCCGAGGGTAAAACGCCCTCGTTGTCAATGCATGCTATGCAGGGCCCTTGCCTTGCAGTTCGGCTTTTGCATCCGCTAGCAGTTTCAGGGTATGAAGGCTTGTGATTATCATTCCGGGCTCATAAGGCTTGCTAGAGATCGCATCCGTGCTTCTGCGTGGCGTCAATGTGCATGCCTGCCACTGGTCTGTTGTTCTTCAAGCTCGTCTGCAAATCAGCTGTAACTGCGTCGTCGTGTGACTTGGTTACAGTAAACCCCATAAAGTTGGACACCGGATTAAGGCCAGATAGTGCTGGGATTCCCTATACATTACTCTTGAGGATTGAGGCTATGGGGTTTCCAACTTTTGCGTTTCTACTGCATATCGCAGCACCAATGAGCTCGTGATGCGTTTGCAAGGACTACAGGCTTCAGCGACTTCCCTGGGCACGCCACAACTGCGGAAGCAACGGCATCACTCTAAAGTCCAAATTAGAAGCAGACGTCTTCCAGGACCCCCAGGTGCGGTGGACAGTGTCCTTGGATCCCCTTACGATAGTCAAATCTTCATGCTACAATACAGGGTAGTTGTTCTGAAGTCTATTTCTTCAGTTTTGGAACGCTGGCGTTCAGATATTGGGGACGAAAGGCGCATGGGGCCTCCAAAATTCGCACCGGTCTTTCCTGTCACTCAGAGAAGCCGGAACAAAGGCCTGAGTGGGCAGATGGATCATAGTGCATGGTTTCTATTCTTTGAGCAATAAACATCCGATGTGCTCTGGAAGAGTAAGTCGGCTCACCCTAGCCCTAAACTTCAAGTCAAATTCTAACTCGAGCATGAACTGGTCAGAGCCCACTGAACACAGGTTCTTTCAAGATGCTGGAACAAAGCTTGACACATGGGAGTTTCCGAGACAGGGGACCCTGATGCACCCTAAATAGTAGGATCCTTATTATAAGGACCCCAAAACAAGGTACCCCTAACTTTCCGGAAACTCCCACCTAAAGAACCTGAGCCGCAAAATTCTGGAGCTTAGGCTCCATGCCCTAAGCCCTAAACCACAAAACCTAGAATCCTGAACCGAAACCCTCAAACCCTCAAGCCCAACATTGACAAAACCCGCCTTAAACCCTTTTGGGGTTTCGCCCGAAAGCTCCCAGACAAGAAAGTGCACTTCAAAGCCAAAGGTATGCAACAGACTGGCCAAACACCCACCAACTATTATTCTGCACGCTTATGGGATCCGGGTAGAGGCTTGTTGCGAAAAGCTAAAGCACAAGGGATGATCCGCTAATGCACACTGAGATGGTGGGGGTTGACCAGGACAACCGGAAGTAACATTAATGGAGGGATATTTAGGGCATGCTACCGGGGAGTTTAGGCTTTAAACATTATGGCTTCAGGTTGTGGCAGAGTTTAAGGCCTTAGCGTTCAGGGAATAGAGACTATGGGATTCGGGGGGGTAGGGGTTTAACCGTGGAGCCCACTCTACAGCGAACATTACCGGTTCATACATTACAAACCCGCCTGTGAAACCCCAAAGTGCGAAGCAAAGGCCTCCCCACCCACCCCCTGCTGCCACACCTTCGTACCGAAATATGAGATTTATGATCCTAGACCCAAATCTCTACAACACACTGAGGCCAGAAGCCGCATGTACTGCTATAGACATGTGATAGTTGGGAGTTTCAGAACCAGAGGTACCGTAGTAGCGACCCTTAATGACCGCCTGAACCATTGTGAAAAGAGATCTGTATTAGCGGATGCGCAGAAGCGCTAGAAGCCTCTAAGCCCCCAGGAAACGGTTAGTGCTCGATTCAGATACAGCCCCCATGTAAGATGAAACATAAGGCCAGCTAGAAGCCCCGAACACGGGTTCACAAGGGTACTTAAACCCTATGAACTCTGAACCCTTTATGAGTCAGGTCTAAGTAACCCTAAACTCTGAACCCTCTATGAGTCCGGGCCCTAAGTAGCCTTAAACCCTAAACCCTAGAAGCTCTGAACCCTCTATGAGTCAGGTCTAAGTAGCCCACCCTCAGCTCCTCAAACCCGAATCCTGCTTAAACGATCATGGGGCTTAGTAAGTCTACTTATAACTGGTTATAACTCCACTTAAGGTACTTACAGCAAACACCAAAAAGTTGGAAACCTAGTTAAGGACAAATAGTGCTGGGATTCCCTATACTTTACTCTTTAGGACTGAGGCTATGGGGTTTCCAACTTTGTGGGGTTTACTGTATACCCTTACTTACTAAGTCCCATGATCCTCCAAGTAAACCCTAAACCCTAAACCCTATATAGATCCATATAGATCCCTTTAAGGAAGCCTATAGATCCCTTTAAGGAGCCCCTTAAGGACCCTTACTAAGTCCCATGATCCTCCAAATATCCGAGGAGCGGACTTTCCGTGTGGTTGCCGAGGGCGAGCCCGGGGAAGTTTGCTTCGGTGGCGTCTTGGCCAAAGGTGCCTCGGCACGCGAAAAAGGGCCGCCGTAGGATTGATTGAAAAAGCTTGTCGTGTGAGGCCTCGGGTTTCCAGAGGATTCAATTTTAAAGGGTTTAGAGCTTGAGGCTTGAAGAGTTGCACGTGTTTAAAGCCTAATGTCCGCTTTTGTTTCTGGGATTGCTACCAGTAGCCAAAGGCTAGGATGCCCAGTAGTACCCTTGTTCCCTTTTGTAGTCCTAGGAACTATAAAGTTACCCGATAGCCCTTTTTATTCCTAGGTTACTGGGCATCCAAGAAGGGGATGACGAAGATGCGTCCTGGACTAAGCCCTGCGCATTACCGCGTTTGGGTTTTGCCAGGCCTATGTGGCAGTGCACCGTGCCTCTCTGTCGCCCTAAACCTTCCGCCCTTCCGTGTATCTTCGCCCTGACCCGGCAGAGCAGGGCATGTCTCAAGATGTGAGGCTACCACAAGCTGCCAGAGCTGACCGAAGCGAAATTCGCCGCTTAGCTTGGCATGGCTCGAGACTTTCGTAAGCTTCCCGGTGCTGATCATGAAAGGATGCATCCAAGCTATGCATAGATGTAGGGATTGTTGGGGACTCTCCCCGTTCCGGGCGCCAAGCGCTGGTCTGCCAGCAACTGTAATCGCGCGAATGTCAGCAGCACTCAGCTGGAACAGGTAATTACTGCTGCCTAAAATAGAAATGCCAGGAATAACAATCGAAGTGCAGTTAATAGTAGTAACATGTTTTCATAGAATACTAGTTAGACGTACTTATCAATATTTTGCAATGTCTGGTTCCTTTAATCCCAAAGAAACAGCTGAAATTGTAACTGTTGCTAGGAATCTAAGTTCAGTGTAGGAGCCGTACGGTGGATGATATCAATCCTGCATTGCCCAGAATAAGGAATATAAAATACTTCCCGTATTTAATGTAACTTAACGTAATGCAGGATTAATATCATCAACAGCAGTAACTATTAATCCCTAAGGGTCCATGTACCCAAATAGTATGTACTTTGGCCTTAAAGTCGTCCCCATATAGGTACTTTGGCAAAGTATCTACTATTCGGGTACATGGACTCTTAGGGAATGTTCGCATTCCCATCGGATCGCCTCCCATTCTCCCGTCGCCTCGCCCGGGCCCTCCCGCCTAAACCCAAAGCGCCCAGCACTCAATCCCACGACATGCAACGTATTTAGGGGTTTAGGTTTAGTGTTTACAGGGTTTAGGGTTTGTTACAGTATGCCTCACCGTATCCTGATGGTCCCATCACAACACAACATACAGTAATTACCACCTATCCCTTGTATGGTCCCCTACAAAACACGTACTACCTATCCCCTAAATGGTCCGAGAGTATAGATACTTTAATCCAACTCCTCAGGGCCCCATTTGTTCGGGTATCCCGAAAAGCCCAGTGTGACCTGGTGGTATCTTGAGGGTTTAGGTTCAGGGCTTGGGGTTTAGGGTTTAGGGCTTGGGGCAATTCTGGTTTAGGGTTTTTTTGGGGCTTAGGTTTTATATGGTAACTATTGTTTTTCTCATTCTATCGGGTTAGACTGTTGAGGGTTTAGAGATGTTTATGGTTTTGGGTTCCCGAAGCCTTGGGCACTAAACCCGCCTAAAAACCTTGAGCCCAAATCCGATCCTACACCCTGAACTTGACACACGATCCACAACAAGCTCGATGTGACACGCTAAAAGCTAACGCCCTAAGCGGCCTAAATGCTCGCCAAAGCCGCTAAACTGCGGATGATGTGAAGCAGAAGGAGGCGGAGGGACTCTGAGTTTAGGGTTTATAATCTTCGGGGTTTAGGGTCTAGCCTGGATCCGCAAAGTATGTAGAACAATGGCTTTTTTTTTATAGGTATTGGGCCATTATTTGACCGACTTACTTTGGGGGGTGTAGGAGGGTATTGAAGGCGATTAGTGTATGGAGGCTAGAGTTAAGTCCTAGTAGTCGAGTAGGTAACCTTTAACCTTCTTTGGGTAGTATAGCCACTATATAACCAAAAAGGCTATATAGCCTTTAGTTCTCCATGATACCCGACACGTAAGAAGTTCTCCACCCCTGCATCCTGCATAGCTCTTTTAACCCCGGCGGTTAAAATCCCAGACACTCAATCTCAAAAGCCAGAAACCAGGTCTCAACAGAGCATGGCCGCCTCTATGTCACTGGAGACTTGGGAAGGATCCCATGAAGCACTTTGAGGGGACACTGGGAGGGGCGGGGGAGAGCATACAAAGCCAAAAGGGTGCAGTGATTTGGTGGCGGTTAGGATTTGGGTTGGTCAGCGGTTTTCGAGCTTCAGGGTGACTACATTCTCAACTCCACCTGCGCCTGCCTCCCCCTGCGCCCCGACATTCCCAGAGAGTTGTAACCTGCTATGCCTCGATGTAGGGCGTATAGGTTAAAGGTTTAGGAATACCCTTCAGCTACTTCCCTAGTAGTCGAGTAGGTAACCTTTTAACCTTTTTTGGGTATTATAGTCCCTATATGACCCCTATATAAACAAGAAGGTTAACCTTGAGTTCCCCATGATACCCGACAAGTAGGCTTCTCCGGCCGCAACTGACGGTGCAGCAGGGGGGGCCAACCCCCGCCCCGAGCTCCTACCTCTGCCTCCGGGTTTTGGGGCGCTACGGAATTTTCATAACGTTCCTGGGTTTGTTATACAAGTCTAGGTCTTTTTGTGGTCCATGTAAAGCCTAGCCTACAGTTCAACCTTTCTTCGTCCCAAGCTGAGGTGGAAGGATGGGGTCCTGGAGGTCATTGGGCGGATCGACCGTCAGGCAGTTGTTGCGGTTTTAACATCCTGCTCCAGCCACTTTTGTGCTGCCATTTCGGGCTCATATGGGGTGGTCTTTGGGAGACTTATGGGGAAAGTCTGGAATGGATGAATGTAATAATGGCTTGGTCTTATGGCTTCGAAGTCAAGATCCTGAACTGACGCCCGAAATCGTGTAAGGCTCCATGTGGGAGATCCCCCGACCCTAAAAGCCCCTACTCCTGGTCCCAACTTGCCCTTGCTGGGACAGGTCAAGGTGAACGGAGTGCGTGTGGAGCCCGAGGCATCGTGGAGGGCTCATATACTTTCATAGATTCGGGCAAGCACGCTGTGCATCTATGCAGACTTCTTACACAAGCTGCATATATCAGCCAGACAGACAGCCAGCCAGCGAGACAGACGGAGAGACACATTCCATAACATTCGTATGTATGTAGGTAGGCAGGTAGGTCGGTGGCTGGGTACATAGGTATGCTATTTAATCATAATCATTTTCGGTATGCACAAATACGCACGGATGCACCTCTACCAACGCACTGAACCACATCTCGTCAATCCCACACCCCGGTTCTTAGCCCCACAAACCCTGAACTCAAGACCCTGACTGCGCAAGCCCTATACCCATATCCTAAACTACAGAATACCTATATTATTACCCCAATATAACTCCCGCCCAAAACATCCTACGTAAAGGCCCTCAGTCAAGATTCAGGGTTTTCGGAGCCTAAGCCCTAACCTTCCTAAACCCTAAGCCCTAAACCCTAAACCCTAAACCCTACACGGACGGGGTGCTTGGAGATGTACGTCTTTGAAGCTGCCGGGCTTGTTGATGAAGGGCCTGAACGCGCAAGCCATGTACTGTATATACCCGGAATGGCCCACCATTCAATAGGGTTCCCTGTGAATCGTCAAGGATCCATGTACTCAAATAGTATATACAGGGGCCTGAAAGTAGTCCCTATATAAGTACTTTGGGGCCAAAGTATATCCCTACTCTGGTTACGCTTATAGAAGCCAGAAAGTTGGAACATCATTATCCCCATGCCCTTAAAGTAAAGTATATGGAGCCCTGGCACGTATCATCCTGAACCCATCTTCCAACTCTCAGGGGTTCACTACATTTCTGTACGAGCTCCAATGTGCTGCGTGGCAGGAAGTCGAAGCTGTGCTTCGTGACTTCCATGTGGCAACCGAGGTAGGGGCCCATTCCGAGCTCTCACGCGATCGATAGCCTGAAACGTTGAAGGTGGTTCGGGTTTGGGGGGGATTTGGGGTCTAGGGTAGGTGATTATATGTAACCGGATGTTGCACTTGCATGGGAAGGACAGCACAAGAAATTCACAAGGAATTCAGCAGGCGCAAGAGGTGATGCTTCAGGTACGCGCAGTGCGGCGATGACTAGAGGAATCTCGAGAAGCCTACACTAAATCCGTAAGCCTTCTCCCCAGCAACCCTAAAGCACCGATCGCAGGCCAACAACTGCAACGTGGCGCCGAAGCCTTCAAACAGCTTGCTTCTGCAAGATCATCTCGGAGGCTCCTCTTATCACGTTCTAACTGAGGTTCAAAAAGGTCGACCTTGAACTACCAAACCCTACTTTTTTGTTGGTTCTTCTTATGAACCCTAATATGGAATTTATAGGGACCCGACAAAAAAGTAGGTTCTGTTTGGTTAAGGTAGGGTTTGAGGGTGTATGTTTCTGGCTTTCGGTACTGTCTTTCTTCAACAGTGCTGGTTGCTCACATAAAGAGAACCCGAAAGTAGAACAGCGCTGTTGGTTGAGGGCTATCCGGTGATGGCCCAGCAGTACAAATTCCTTAACAGGAACCCAGCAATTTCATGCAAGTTGTCAAGACCTGACGAGATCGTCAAAGTTCAGGGGCGAAACCTGAATCCTCAGAATTTTTGGCCAGATGAAATCATCTGGCATAAGGTTTAGGGTTGGCACACATTTTTTTCACAGGACATCATCGCTGGTATGTCCCCACACCGCTTCGCAATTAAACCTGCTGGAGTTTTCCGGCATCATGTCTAGAGCGGTAGGACTTCAGAAGGTGGAAACGAAGCCGTAACTGAAGTCTACTCGTGATACTCGTGCAGGTGATCTGGACAATGTGGCAGTCCTCGACCGTGCTGTCAACAGGGCTGCCGTTGCCCCTCTCAAGCAATGCTTCATCGCTGTTTTAATGTGCCGTTTGCTGTGATGTTTCATGTCTAGCCTCTGAACCATAACAGCCGAGTCGAACCCTACACCCTGAATCCTAAAGCCTGAATGCGTGCTTAACATCCATAAGCCCTAAGCCATATCATATCGGCAAGCTTTGCAGCACTCGTCCAACACCCAGGGACCCAGGGGTACGATGACCCCTGGGGGCCTCCCAGATGTGAAGCATCAGCGTTTGCTTACGTTCAGGGCTCAGGGTTTAAGAGGGCTCATACACGACACAGGTCCGAGGGCTGTAGGGTTTATGGCTCACGGTTTCTCTTGTCGTAGGAAACTGTGATTTTTAAATCCCCAATATGGGTTTTCAGTTCAGCGCATGTCTGGACTGCCAACGATTTCCCATTTATTGAATCGACTGTGCAGACGAGTACTTTCGATGCTCATGTCACTACAAGCCCCCAATAAATATAATACGGTTCTGGGGGGGGTATACATTGTGCTACTACTTTGGATCATAATTCGCGCTTCCGTGAGGGTCCAGGTTAGGGTTTAGGGCCCACTGAATCATCTTGCCAATTCCTAAACCCCAAATGCCTAAGGCCCTTAACAAACAGCATAAATAATCCCTCTAGCACTCAAACTTCGAACCTGAAGACCCGAAGCCCTAAACTTTCCCAGACCCGAATGCTAAAGGGACCCTTTAATCCTCGAAAGCCATAAACTCTTTGAGCCCTAAATACCCTGAACCCTTTGAAGCCAAAGAACCCAAACCTCTTGGAAATCTTACGCGAAAACATCCACAGACTTGAAACCCTGAACCCTACACCCTGCAACCCTAAACCCCTTGTCCGACCCCACCGGACCTTCTGGGGCTTTCTTGTACAAGGTCACCACATCGGAGCCGGCGCAGCTCGTGGCCTTCATCGAGCCGCGGGAAGGTGCCTGGCCAAAGAAGAGGGAGGGACCCAGAGAGCCCAATACCCCTTAATTAAGGAATATACCTATAAGGTTCCTTTAAAGGGGGTCTAAAAGGGATCTATAAGGGATCTATAGGGATTAGGGTTTCCGATACCCCTTAATTGAGGAATTTAGCTTAAATCATAGTATTAAGCCCTGTATATAGTTTAAGCTATATTCCTTGAATAAGGGGTATTGGGCTCTCTGGGGAGTACGATTGTGTTTTTTGCTTTTTCGGGTGTGTTGAGATTCAGGCTCCTACTTGGAGGGGCAGGGGATTCAGTAGCCATACTTACTAAGCCCCCTGCCCCTCCAAGTATGACACCCCAAGAGGCAGGAAAACGCGTCCCAGAACCAGGAAGCGACCGAAGAAGGCTCCACCTGCCCAGTATGAACGTGCTGGAGTTCGATCCTTTCCGTTTTAACATTTCGTTGTAATCGTGAAAAACTCGATATCAGCTAACAACAGTAGGGATGATGATAAGAAGAAGATGCCTCGAGATCCCGTAACTCCGAAGCTTGAAATCCCAACATCCGCCACGGCCTAAGTTCTTGTCAGAAGGCTGTGAAGTGAATCTTGAGGACGTCCAGGCTCGCGGAGGATGTCTTTCCTTCGAGGGATGGGGCTTTTAGGGCTTAGAGTCTTAGAGCGCTGATGGTGTAGGTTTTGGGGTTTTGAGTTTGACAGTTTAGGGTTTATGGTTTTAAGGGTTAAGAGCTTCAAGTTTATTACGGTAGCCTGTTGACTAGGGTAAAAAATTACAAGGTCTCTGTGGCATTTAGCGAAAATCTGCTCCAGCGTCGAAACCTGCGAGGAACCCCTGTAGCGTCACACCTAACCTGAGCCTTGAGCGTAATTCGGCACCCACCGTTAGTCCCAAAGCTCCTAAACCCTAAACCCCTGAATCATAAGCCCTAAGCCCTGAACCCTAAACCCTCCTCTCAGTTCCTTCCTTCCACGCCGGAGGCACACTGCAGGGCGAATTTGGCCCCAGCTTACGTGCCGAAGTGACCTCCCAATCATCCTGTCTATTCATAGTACATAACCCGAACGGTCAATGTGCCCAAGCAGTATAGTGTATTATGCTTTGGCCTTAAAGTAGTCCCTGCTTTATATAGGTACTTTAGAGTGAAAGTAGTGTGAGAGTATATACTATTTGGAGACATGGACCCTGAGAGCCTGAGGGTAACAGCACATTTATCCGGTTCCATACTTTTTAACAGTATAGTACACTATAGCATAATATGACATATGCTTTGATACTCAAAACACCACTTTTGCTTCCACAGCGGTTGCTGATAGACGACGGAGATGCTGACGACCAAAACGACCATCATTATCGAGTGGTTCAATCATCAGGCACCCACATATTTGTACATCTGTATATATATATATATATATATATATATATTTGGGACAGGTACATCCTTCTGCAACCTGCTTTGCCCGCCCTGCCAAACGGGAAAGTCGACTACGCTGCTTCTTGGAGCGCAGAATGAGTTGCGGTTCAGCTTCAAAAGTTGGCAAGGCTCATCCTCTTCCTAGGTTTTATGGGGGTTTAGGGGTTTAGGGTATAGGGTTTAGGATTTAGGATTTAGGGTTTAGGGTTTAGGGGTTTAGGGGTTTAGGGTTTAGGGTTTAGGATGAGGGGTTTAGGGTTTAGGGGTCCAGAAAACAGGATACCTTCTGTTGAAGTTACTTGGATCTGTGTCGCGTAGAAGCCCCAAACACTAAGAGCCGCGTGCTTCAAGGCTATAGGGCTCCGGAACTTGGGGGTAATTAGGGCTTGGGGTGCAGCGCTAATGGTCGAGAGTTTTTGGATTCGGGATTGTTATCTTAGAGCTCAGGGCCAAGGGTTTAAGTGCTTAGAGTGCGCAGTGCAAGCGAGTCACGCTTAAACTTAAGTTCCATACGGTTGATGATATAAATCCTGCATTACCCATAAGAGGGAATATACCATAATTCCCATAGTTTAGGGTCCTTAAGGTCATGCAGGATTTATATCATCAACAGTAGACCCCAGACCCTGGAAAACGCGGGGGGGGCCGCAGGCTCTACGAGCCATGGCCGACGAGCATGTGCCTTGGGCTGGAGGTGAAACCCTAAACCCTAAACCCTAAACCCGGGTCTTTGGCTTCTAGGATTTCGATTTTGAGGGTTTAGGGTATAGGGGTCAGGTTTTAGGGTGGCAGCCATAAAGTTGGAGCCCTTATAGTAAAGCATAGGGGATCCTGCCAAATCTCATCCATAGAGGGACCACATCCACCAGTGACGGTTTAGCGTTTACAGGCTTGGTACGTTTTTGTAGGCTCTTCGCAGGAATCATGTGGGCCATTAAACATATGATCATCATCACACTTCTGAGGGCTGGTGGTGGTGGTTTGGGGTGTCCTGCTTACACGAAAGAGTACCATGGTACAACTTATCAGGTATGTGGGGTCTTGGGGTGAAGGGACTGTGGAGTTTCGGCAGTTGTTGTCTGCGAGAGCCTGCGATTGCTGTTGTGTGTTTCCCAGACCCCCGGGAGGATCCAAAAAGTAGATCCCTTAATGGGGGTTCCTATCAAGTACCCTTAGTAGTATAGGGCCCCAAATTAGGGGATCTACTTTCTAGATCCTCCCGGGGGTTTGGGTTTGGGATGGGCCCGATTGCACGAGCCGGCGTCATCAACCCTGCAGACCTTCTTTGAACGTTTAGACCGCTCCAGCGCAAGCTTCAATCCCTCAGCTACTTGGAGGATCATGGGACTTAGGAAGTAAGGTTATAAGTACCTTAATTGGGGTTATAAGTAGTTATAAGTAGAGTTACCCTAATTATAACCTTAGTTACTAAGTCTCATGATCCTGAGACTAGGTCCTTCAACTCTGCTCGCTGGAAGCCCCAGGCCCCCCTGGGGTCCCTTTCTGGGGGCCCAATTGGCCAACCACCCCGCCCCCCCCCCCCCCACGATAAAGGGCTTGGGGCTCTCAACTCCAAGCCCGAACATAAGCCCTAAACCCTCGGGATTTAGAACCCGAATATCAACCCTAAACCCTTCGGGTTTAGGATTTTGGGCTTGGTGTTGAGATCAGGCTGTGGCCCTCGAAGCCTTGACCTTCCAGCTCTTCATTTGGGAGTTTTCGAAAATTAGGGGTACCTTATTTTGGGGTCCTTAATAATGAGCATCCTACTATTTAGAGTACTATATCAGGGTCCCCTATTTTCGGAAACTCCCACATGAATGTTTCACAAGGATTTTAGTTTGTGTGGTTCAGGGGTCCTTGTAGGACAGCTTCTATAGTTTAGGTGTTGGTTGCTTTGGTCATGTACCTCGGGGTCTATGAACGATTCCACATTTTTGGTGTTTATCTTTGGCGTGATGATGCAGCTGGATTGTTGCCTATCCCGTCCACCAAGGCTTAGACAGCCTGACAACTACCAAATACCAGTTCTGAGAGCTCATTCTTAGTATACTTCGTATGATAATATACACCAAGGCCTGTTTTACGTCTTCCTGCCTCAATGAAACCCTTCATGCACCCCTAAGTCCCTAAAGCTCGCATTCCCGGAATCTGAAGCCAGAATCCCCAAGTTAGGGTTTAGGGTTTAGGAAAGCACCAGGCTCTGCAGACCACAGAGACTGTGCTGGATTCCCTGGGGCAGATGCGCCCCTCGGTTTCGGTGTCGCAGCGCTAGGGGCCCTAAACCCTAAACCCTTACATAGTCCCCTACATCCTAAACCCGGTAGTCGCTTAGACCCCAAACCCTTCCTATAGTTGCTTAAACCCTCAAGCCCTTAAGCCCTATAAGCCCTGCATTTAGAGGCTCATGGGTAGTTATAATAGGGGTTATAAGTCCCCGAATATAGGTTATAACCACACTTACCCTACTTATAACCCTACTTATCACTACCCATGAACCTCCAAGTAGACCCTGAACCCTAAACCCTCACAGAATTCCTTAGTAGATCCCTTTCAAAAGGGAACTTAAGCACTTATCAACCCTGTCCCGGAAGTCCTAACCTTCAAACTGTCCAAGGGTAAAAGGAGGGACCCTTAACTTCCCTTTGGTTAGTAGGGAATGGAGGAAAGGGATACCACTATAACTACTATTACTACCCTTATCTTCCATTCCCTACTAACCAAAGGTAAGTTAACAAGGACCCCTAGGTATATACCCTTACTATAAATATTATATACCCATTATATAGCCCATTATAGGCTAGGGGTCCCCATTAAGGGTCCCTCCTTGTCCCCGTTGATAGAACCCGAAGTCCAGCTGGCACCTGAGGATCAATGTCCAAGTGGGCGGTTCTGGAGAATGCAGTCATCCACCGATGCTATGCCTTCTGGATGCCCCTTGGGCTTCCAGGGCCATAGAACCGAAGGTCTTTTCTTTCGTGTACTACACTGTTGTAAAGATTTGTACAGTATACAGTATACTTTACCTGAGGCGCGCGAAGGAATGGCCTTCATGCTTAAACGGTTTGGGATCCTCTCTAGGGCGCAGGCCACAATGCTTGGAGAATGTTTGATCCCAAGGTATGTCTCATTTAGCAGCCATGTGAGGTCTGAGTAACTGGGTGGCATGCTGGGCGAACTTGGCATTGCATGAGACAGCTGTCAGCCGACGTCTACATCCTAATTAACCCGAAGAATGCCAAAATTTTGAATCCCGACACTCGGAGAGCTCATCGAAGTAGTCCGGAGGGAGTGCCATGTATGGTTTCGGGATTGGGGTTTTCGGGTGCGGGAGTCGTGCCCAACAGTGTCGCGTGACAGGCCAGCTGTTACGACACATGTTTGAACCTGACGTAGAGGCCGACAGCTACCAAGTTGCCTTCAGAAGCTAAGTACGCCAAGATGTTCAGGTCATCACCCTGTCAAACCGAGAGTGAAGTCCAAAGCCCGAAAGTGACTTCAGAATCCATGTCAGGCCCTGCCACGGTAATGATGGGTAATGTAGGGGCCCTAATAATTAGAATGGGTTTGGGGGGCCCATTATACTGTACTTATTTCAAGGAACCCCAAAATAGTATTGGTAATGTTTAGGCCCCTATCTTACTCTCATGCCCGGTTTATGATTGAATCTTCCTTGCTACAGCTTGGCAGACAACTCCAAAAGTGAGATTGTCAGGCGGTTTTAAGATTCTAAGACATACATGGGAGCCGAGTACATAGTGCCGAGAGCCTATAACTGTTACCCGTCTTGTGGGCCGAGGTTGGGGGTGCTCTTGGACCACTACGCCTTGTGCGCCATGACCCTTGACCCAAACGACCCGACCAAGACGCGCTTCTGCTGAACTGGCTGAACTCGTGTTTTTTTGTTGTGATGTTCTAGCCTGGAGCTGGGCTGCTTAGGCTTGAAGCAGCTAAACCCTAAATCTTAAACCCTATACCCTAAACCCTAAACCCTAAACCCTATAAACCCTAAACCCTAAACCCTAAACCCTATAAACCCTAATCCCTAAACCCTATACCCTAAGCCCCAAACCCTAGACCTTACCCTAAGCCCCAAACCACAAATCCTGACGACCGCACGGAACCCCGCCTTGAAAAGCCCTTAGACCCGAAACCCCCCTACCTGAAGACTCCAATATCCCTTAATTAAGGAATATGCCTTAGGGTTCCTTTAAAGGGATCTATAAGGGATCTATAGGGTTCCTGTAAGGGATCTATAGGGTTAAGGGTTTAGGGGACTCCAATACCCCTTAATTAAGGAAGATGCCTTAAATTATAGTAGGATCCCTAATATGGTTCAAGGTATGTTCCTTAATTAAGGGATGTTGGAGCCTCTGGGTACAGGCTCTGAGCCCGTCACAGGAAGGCCCTAGAGGCCCCAAGCTTCAGGGTTTAGGGTTTAGGGTTTTGGGGTTTAGGGTTTAGGGGTTTAGGGTTTAGGGTTTTGGGGTTTAGGGTTTAGGGTTTTGGGGTTTAGGGTTTTGGGGTTTAGGGTTTAGGGTTTAGGGTTTTGGGTTTTGGGTTTTAGGGTTTAGGGTTTTAGGGTTTAGGGTTTAGGGTTTTAGGGTTTAGGGTTTAGGGTTTAGGGTTTTAGGGTTTAGGGTTTAGGGGTTTAGGGTTTAGGGTTTAGGGTTTAGGGTGTGGCAGGCGAAGTCGCGCGCTCGGGTGTGAAGCACCCCGGGCCGCGCGCTCGCGTTGCTTGTAAACCCACCCCGGCCACCCAAACTATACTCTACAAGGGTTTAGGGTTTCTACCCCCCAGCCCCCCTATCAAGGGAGGCTTTTATATTTTTGCACCCATGAACGTTGCAGTTGTTGAAGTTGTGGCCTAGGCAACGGCTGGGAGTAGCCTCGGCCCTTTTCGGGCCTTCGGCATGGCAGGGCCGGCTCGGCCCTTTAACTTTAGCGTTTGACAGCTTTGGAAAATCTAGATTTTAGAGCTGGTTCCTAAATCCTAAATCCTAAACCTTAAATCCTAAATCTTAAATCCTAAATCCTAAATCCTAAACCCTAAATCCTAAACACCAAATCCTAAATCCTAAACCCTAAATCCTAAACCCTAAATCCTAAATCTAGATTTTAGAGCTGGTTGTCCTTTTCCGAAAAGGACAAGCGCGACTAAATATTGAAATCCGGAAGCTTAAGAGCAGCCACACGAAAAGAAAGGAGGGGACATCGAGATTCGCAACCGGCCTCGTCTAAAAGGCACATTTTATGAACAGAATTTGTCACTCGAAAATCACCAGCAAAAATCCAAATTTCCGGAGGCTAAATCTTAAATCCTAAACCCTAAACCCTAAATCCTAAATCCTAAATCCTAAACCCTAAACCCTAAATCCTAAATCCTAAATCCTACATCCTAAACCCTAAATCTTGAATCCTAAATCCTAAACCCCAAATCCTAAATCCCAAATCCTAAACCCTAAATCCTAAAATCCGGAAGCTTAAGAGCAGCCACACGAAAAGAAAGGAGAGGACCTCGAGATTCGCAACCGGCCTTGTCTAAAAGGCACATTTTATGAACAGAATTTGTCACTTGAAAATCACCAGCGAAAATCCAAATTTCCGGAGGCTACATCCTAAATCCTAAACCCTAAATCCTAAATCCTAAATCCTAAACCCTAAATCCTAAACCCTAAATCCTAAATCCTAAACCCCAAATCCTAAATCCTAAACCCTAAATCCTAAATCCTAAATCCTAAATCTAGATTTTAGAGCTGGTTGTCCTTTTCCGAAAAGGACAAGCGCGACTAAATATTGAAATCCGGAAGCTTAAGAGCAGCCACACGAAAAGAAAGGAGGGGACCTCGAGATTCGCAACCGGTCTTGTCTAAAAGGCACATTTTATGAACAGAATTTGTCACTTGAAAACCACCAGCAAAAATCCAAATTTCCGGAGGTTAAATCCTAAATCCTAAATCCTAAACCCTAAATCCTAAATCCTAAATCCTAAACCCTAAACCCTAAATCCTAAATCCTAAATCCTAAATCCTAGATCCTAAACCCTAAATCCTGAATCCTAAATCTTAAACCCCAAATCCTAAATCCCAAATCTTAAAACCCTAAATCCTAAAATCCGAAAGCTTAAGAGCAGCCACACGAAAAGAAAGGAGGGGACCTCGAGATTCGCAACCGGCCTTGTCTAAAAGGCACATTTTATGAACAGAATTTGTCATTTGAAAATCACCAGCAAAAATCCAAATTTCCGGAGGCTAAATCCTAAATCCTAAATCCTAAATCCTAAATCCTAAACCCTAAACCCTAAATCCTGATCCTAAACCCTAAATCCTAAATCCTAAATCCTAAACCCTAAATCCTAAATCCTAAACCCTAAATCCTAAATCCTAAATCCTAAATCCTAAATCTTGAATCCTAAACCTTAAATCCTAAATCCTAAATCCTAAATCCTAAACCCTAAATCCTAAATCCTAACCCCAAAACACCCCCGCCAGAGCAAATGGGGCACGGTTTGGGGTTATAACTTAAGCTACGCTAGAGGTGGTCCCGATACGGCGGTCCCTCGTTTCGAAAACTTCCCGTTGGGGTCTGCCATGGGCTTTACACCGTTGACCTGTGCAGGTCAGACCGGGGAGGCTTTACCCTCCCCTCTCCGCGTCCCGCTCTTTTCGTAGGGGCGCTCGGGCTGTTAGGCCCTCGGCCAGAGCGCTCGGGGCCTGTCGTTCGACGGTTTCGGCCCCTCGCTTAGTTTTGGGGTTTAGGGTTTAGGGTTTTGGGGTTTAGGGTTTTGGGGTTTAGGGTTTAGGGTTTAGGGTTTAGGGTTTTGGGTTTTAGGGTTTAGGGTTTTAGGGTTTAGGGTTTAGGGTTTTAGGGTTTAGGGTTTAGGGTTTAGGGTTTAGGGTTTTAGGGTTTAGGGTTTAGGGTTTAGGGCCCTAGATCCAGCTACGAAGAAGAGTGTTCCCTAAAGGCCCCAAGCCCAAGCGGTGCCGAAACAATTGCCAACACTATTTTGGGGGCTCCTTGTTATGATTATAGTATTATCAGCCCCACAGCCCTATTCTAATCATGAAGGCCCTATATTAAGGAATTACCGATGACCCCTAGATCCAGCTACGAAGAAGAGTGTTTCGAGTCCCCGACCCTCGATCTGCCCTCTTAGACCCTAAACATGTTTAATTCTTAGGGCCCTCAGGGGTTAGGCCCTAAACCCTAAACCCTAAACCCTTAGGGGTTTAGGGTTCCTTTAAAGGAATCTCGGGGGCCCCTAGGTTTCCTCTGAAGGGACCCATAAGGGTTCTATGAGGGATCTATAGGGTTTAGGGTTTACTTGCATCCAACAAGTAGATGCTTGGTCCCTAAACTGCCTATACAGGGACGAACTTGAGGCCAAAGTACATACATAGACCCTTAGATCGGTTTGAGGGTACAGAGAGGGCCCTGGATTGTCGGGCAAGATCTTGAAAGAGGATGGCTGCAAGAACCCTTCAGCGTAGGTCATTGAACTTTGAGTATGTTGAGTCTAGCAGCCGCGCTTACCGGTTTAAAGGATTGGGTTTTGTGGCCCGCCTTGAAACCAAACAGACCTCTGCATTGGGGCTAATGACGCCTGTACTCCCTAGACTGTGCAGGGTCAGGGTTTGGGGGCTTTGTGCTTGGAGTGAAAGGGTAGAAATCAGGGGTTTTCAGGGGTTTTGGAGTGTAGAGCTTAGGGTGGTAAAGGTTGGTACTGTGTTTAGTGCATGTAATTCAGTGATTTTAGGGATGCTTCGTGATGCACCGTATATTCATAAACCGTACAGGGTTTGGCTGTGGGGGTTTACGAACGGTTGAGCTGTGGGGATTTAAGGGGTGCCATGCTTTTTGTTGTCTTTTCCAGCTTATTCTGATCCCTAAGTGTCCATGTACCTAAATAGTATATACATTGGCCTTAGAGTAGTCCCTATATGGGTACATTAGGCCCAAAGTATATATATATATATATATATACTATTTGGGTACATGGACCTCTTAAACTCTTAAACCCTAACCCTAAAGCCCTATGGTACCCTTATAGGAACCCTTAGAGGCACCCTTATTATTATAGGAACCCTTAAAGGAGCCCTATTTGGGCACATGGACCCTTATGGGATGGCTTTTGTTGGGCACGTCAAGGAATTCGCAGCCCTTCTGCACAGCGCTGGCAGGGGCGTCGATCGCTCCGCAGCTTGCCCAAAGGTTGAGGTCTTTCCCAAAGGGTCTTAGGTGCTGTTATGGGGAATACTTCCCCAAATCATAATAGTAATTCCTAACATAGAAACCCTTCATTCTACCATACAGGTACTTTGGACCCTTTGGGTTGGGCGTTTGCATTTGGCTTCTGGCTTAGGGCGTTTAGGGTTTCAGCGTCAGGGGCTAATTACAATGCAATCTGATGTGTGTACAAGGCCTTGAGCATATGTCTTGCGGTTTGCTCTCCGGGTGCCTCTCTCGTGAACTTGCTTCCTGACGACATATGGAGTGAGTCATCCTAGTAGTAGAGTAAGTAGGCTTTAACCTTTTTTGGGTAGTATAGTCCCTATATTATCCCTGTATACCCAAAAAGGTTAACCTTTAGTTCCCCATGATACCCGACAAGTGGCGCATGGGGTTCGAGTCTAGAGGCTTTTGACCGGCTTTCCAGTCCTGTGGCTTCAGGACGCTTGTGACCCCCAAAAGCCTCAAAACCCCGAATTGAAACTTAGACCCCAAAACCATCTTAACCCTACTTTTGAAGCATAGAGCCATAAGTAACGAACAACTCTGGAACTCAAAATCGCCAAGCTGCTCGATGCCAGCGGCGAGCGGCACCGAGGGCTGACACTGCCACAACTGTGATACTGTGGAGTAGCGCATCGATGACTACATCACTCCTTTGAGGGCTTGAAACCGTCTGAGTACATCATCTTTATTAAGGAGGTTAATTTGGGGACCACTGATTAGCTGCCCCCCCCCCCCCCCATTCTTGACAGGCTTCGGAATACGGAGGCCCTTAAGCGAAAATCACACGACAGAAAAGGGAGACCCTGCAACCCGATGTGGGTAGTTGTCAGAATTATGGCCCCTTTTCGGAGGGTGCCCAAAATATTAGGTGCCGTATTATAATAAGGACCCAACAAAGAGACCATAATTTTGACAACCACCCAAATATGGTTGAGATGTGCGCGATCAGGGCTCAGGGGATGGACCCTCGGGTCGAGGAGCATCGGCTCCTTCTTTGCAGAAACCCTAAGCCCCAATGATGAAAAAGGCGTTAAAAAAGGGCTAAATCTAAACCCCTAAACCCTAAACCCAAGCGATAAAGCCTCCGCGTTGTGCCCTACTCATGCAGCCCTGAGCCCTAACAGCATCGATTAGTTACGGGGTTCACTCATGGACATACCAAACACAAAAGAATGCACATACTAATTACAATAGCATAACCCGTAGCAAGAAGATGCAAAATGGTATCAACTGTAACAATACTAAAAAAATCGATGGTACTAAACTAGCATTAGAAGAAGACGAATGATAATAGTAAGAACAGGAGTGACAATACTTATGATGAGAGCAAGAATAAGAATAACCAGACACAACCATGAGAAGAAGACTAATAGTAGCGGTAATAAACATACAAACAATATTGATAGTCGGAACAGTAATAAGAATAAGAACAATAATCGGCATCACTGTAGTATTAATAATAGGAAGAGTACTCAGAAGAGCAGTAGCAATGATACTAATGCGAATGTATCTGATACCAGTTGTAATAACGGACATCATCGTTAACAAGCAATATGACAAACATATAACACAACAAATAGTAAAAGCAATGGTACGAATATTAAGAAGCAAAAACAACAACAAGGGCAACAGCAATACATATAACAGTAATAGTTAATACCGTAGGAGAAAACAGTAATAGCAATACTGATAATTAAAATGATTGTAATAAAGCTGATAGCTTTGATAATGAGGATAACAGCGAAACCTGCAGTTAAAGTATCTTCTTGCTATTATTTTCACATGTTAAGAACACCATTACAATCCCGCCTGCAAGCCCTCGTCTACCTCGTCACTCATGTAGAACCCTGATAGAACCATTCCACAATCTTATTGAGCCCTTGAAGAAGCCTTAGCAAATAAAAGGGTGGTCCTATACTACAGAACTGTTATTGAGCCCTTTCTCAGTAGCCCTTGTGAGCACGTCCCTTAAAGGGAACTCTATTCAACCACTGTCCTCTTCAAAGAAACCCCCCTTGTAGAACCCCATAGTATGCTTAAAGGAGGTGTAGTCGGAGTCTTGAACCCTATACCCTGAACCCTACACCCTAGCCGTTTCTTTCCCTGAGGTGGTCGGAGGTCCTGCTTCGCTCCATCGGCAACGACCAGGCCGCCCCTCCTCCTTTGCTTGGGGCCATTAAGTTTGGGCTTTGGTATTTAGTAATGGTTCTTAAAGGGCTCTTTAAAGGGATCTATAGGGTTCCTTAAAGGGATCTACAAAGTTTAGGGTTTTGGGTCTACTTAAAGGATCATGGAACTTAGTAACTAGGGTTAGAATTAGGGTAGCTCTACTTACAACTACTTATAACCCCAATTGAGGTATTTATGTCAAAGTTATGGCCCCTTTTTGGGTACCTTAAATAATAGGTGCCGTATTATAGAAAGGACCCAAGAAAGGAAATGATTTTGACAACCACCCTTGTTGCTTGGGGGCTTTGGTGGGAAGTGTAGGATTTAGGGCTCAGGGGATGCCTGGCAGAGGTTTCGGAATTAGGAAGTGAAGGATGAAGTTTAGGAAGTAGGAAAGTTAGGATTTGGGGTTTAGGTTTAGGGTCTGGGGCCTAAGAATCCCATTACATAGGTCGCGCATAATTACATCGACCACATGGATTCCTATATGTATAATGTATATGTACACATACATACTTGCTATATATAAGTACTGGTTGATATGGGTTCAAGAGGATTGATAGGTGCGTAGGACTTATGGAGTTTTGGCTTCGGGGTTAAGGGCTCGGGACTGCCGGAATGCAGGTTCAGAATTGAGAAATTCGGATTGTACGGTTTGGTGGTTCGGTTTGGTGGGCATTATTTACCAACGTTTCGGTTGATCGCGTCACGGGTGTTCAATCTGACTTGGGGAGTTCACCCTCGCTCGAGGGGTCTGGCGGTGATTCCCACAACTGGACGACCTTTGGTGTGTGTTAGCCTGGACAGTAGCTGCTTGCATGCAAATTCTCCGCCAACCTTATCCTAATCCCCAAATTCAGCGTCTCCCCCAAATCCCTGAACAGCTGCTAAAACCCTAAACCCATCTCCGTGCTCTTGTGTTCGTTCTATAAACTTTACTGCAGCATTGCATTTGTGCACGATGTGAGTCTGCCTGAGTCTTTCCTCCGGATGCTGCCGATCGAGGCACTGACCCCCTTTGGGTCGCCAGGGGGCCCCTAGCAAAGAAGCCTGACAAGGGTCTTCTTATAAGGTTCTCTAAAATGATATGCTCTGAACCCGACTAGCCAGGACAAAAACTATCACCGCTACTACTACTACTACTACTACTACTACTACTACTACTACTACTACTACTACTCCTGCTGCTGCTACTACTACTACTACTACTCCTACTACTACTACTACTACTACTCCTACTACTACTACTACTACTACTACTACTACTACTACTACTACTACTACTACTACTACTACTACTACTACTACTAACAACAACAACAATAATCATAATATAATAACAATTACTGCCGCTGCTACTACTACAGCTGCTACTGCTACTTTTTTACGACAGCAACAGCTAGTACGATGGTGTATGTATAGCACACATCGCCTCAGCACCCCAGTCTATTTCTCAGGCCTCTACAGCGGCAACGAGACTGGGAACATCGGAACAACAACGGTTGATGATATAACTCCTGCATTACCTTAAGGGCCCTAAACTATGGGATTTATGATATATTCCTTAGTATGGGTAATGAAGGGATTTTGTATCATCAACCGCAAGCACTTTCCGCCTCACGCATCGACTTGGCATAGACTTCCTTGAACCCTGAAGAACCTACCTTGTTGAGGGCTCATACAAGGAATTCAAATATAGGGAACCGGGAAAAGGTAGGTTATTCAGGGTTAAGGTTAGGATTATGTAGCCTTTTGTAGCAAGACTAGATTTTACATAAGGATTTCATGGGGATACTAGTGCTAGTTAGTCAGACCTTCCAGGATCTGTTTGGATTCATCATGCTCGGTGCCTACCAGGACCGACACCAGGATGATTAAATGCTGAAATTATGGATTCGAGCTCACCCTTGCTAAGCCTTTGTTCTTCTCTCTCTCTCTCTCTCTCTCTCTCGCTCTCTCTCTCTCTCTCTCTTTCTCCCTCCCTCCCTCTTATGTACATATGTACTTATATAAGACTTATACATAAATATAATATCTGTGTACATAGAGTTACACATTGAAATCATGACCAGTGGTTGGTACTGTTGATTTTGAAAGCCCGAACACGAAACGTCCAAGTACACCTTCAGCAGATAATTATGATCTACATATGGGTGGTTGTCAAAATTGTGGTCCCTTTTTGGGCACCCTAGATGTTAAGTGCCGTACTATATTAGGGACCCCAAAAAGGGACCATAGCTTTGACAACCTACATGCCAAACCCGAATCATTCGATAACCGTCATCCCGGCATCAACTTCCTGAGAACTGACCTCAACGGGAGCCCCAATGATGCAATTAGCATTAACCGTTTACTTTGTGGGGTTTGGGAAGCTCAGGATGAGGAGAGTCCCTGAACTACCACTATGGGCTATTAGTCCTTATGGGTACCTTAATCTACCCTTCATAGGGTCCTAATAGGGATCTTTAGGGTCTAATAGCCCATAGTGGTATGTTTTTGTGGCTGAGGTCTTTAGGTGCTGCGACTTGCACGCAGTAAAAGTCTCTACGGGAATTTGTAGTTGCCCTTGCTCCAGGCTGTTTGGATGAAGGACAAAGCAATGCCACGGGATAGGAGCTGGGTATGGGTGAGTTTGTTGTCATGCATGTGGTGGGGCCCTTACTTCTCAAGAAGGAAGGTGTGGCTAGTTTCAGACATTGGTGCTCTCCCATTGTAGGTGGGGACCCAATTTGTTGTTGGCCCTTTTATTTGTTTTTTGGTTGTTTTGGCCTTTTTGTCAGCCCTTCCGTGGGAAGCAAGGAAAGAAGGAAGGAAGGAAGGAAGGAAGGGATGAAGAAGGGAAGGACGGAAAAGGACAAATCCAGGGCAGACGGAAAAGGACGGAACACTTCAAGAACGCGTACTTTCGGTGAAGATGGGCAACCAAGAGGTACCTTCATGTGGGAAATGTTGGTTTTTCCCGCGAAACACTTAGAAAACGAACTAAAAGCAAATCAATGAGTTAATCCTATGAAAAGATATAAGAAATTCTGTTTTTCCGTGGAAACCAAGAGATCGAATCAAAACGAAACAAATCATAGGAACTCCTGCAGAAAGGGGTGCTAATCTTATGAAGCTATACAATGCTAGTTTTCCTAGGAAAAAACCAAGACAAAGAACCAAAGAACAACAATAAACACCAAACAAAGAGAAATGCCACCAAAACAACTTCTCTCGTTTGTTTTCCTGCGTAAACGTAGAAGTAGACATAGACAAATACAGGTCTATGGATGTAGATATGTCCCACCTTAAAACTAGACAAAAGACTGGTTTTACCTATGGGATCGTGGGCAACTCCCCCCTAAACCCGAAACCCGGGAACGTAGGCAACTCCCCCCTAAACCCGAAACCCCGAGCCCCACCACCACCCCCCCCCCCAGAAAAAGAGTGCCAAAAAGCAAAAAAAAAGTGCCAAAAAACAATCTTCACCCATTGTAGGTCCCCATGTGTTGCTTTATACTGTGTGAAATACTCCTGCTAGAGGTGCTATGTTGTTCTGGGCAGCACAGATGGTATTTGTGGCAGTCACGGGCATAAAACAGATCTCTCAGTACCCTAAACCCTAAACCCTTTGATTCTCTGGCGGACCCTTACTGGGGCGAAGATATGCTCTACGAAAAAATCGAGAAGTCGATGCCCTACCCGACGGAGATCTTTGCGACGCAATCCGGAATATGTGCAACACTCCCGAATGGAAGCCTCCAGAGCAGATGCATTAGGTATGTCGAGGGTGTGGAAGAAGAGATTGTCATTCAGGAGATAGAGCTGTCTGTGGTAGATGAGTTTCCGGACGACGTCAGAAACGAATGTCAAGTCATCGCTGAGCTGGCAACAGCTCAGCGCGAGCTTCGTGGCGTTCCGTCTGACATCTCGGTTATTCATGTACCTGCTTCCCCAACCCCATTGAACATTACCCTACACCGTCTAAAACCTTGATAAACCCTAAACCCTAAACCCTAAACCCTAAACCCTAAACCCTACACCGTCTAAAACCCTAAACCCTAAACCCTACAGGCCCTCCCTGCCAGACTCTCAGCCCTAAACCCTCTGAAGCCCCAGACCCGGGGCGTTGCACCGAATCGTCAAGCTCTACACCTCCAAGTATCCTTGACTAGGATGCCCAGTAGTACCCCTATTCCCTTTTTGTAGTCCTAGGTTCCTTATAAAGTTACCCAATACCAAAAAGAGAGGTCTTTTTAGTCTTAGGTTACTGGGTATCCTAGTTGACCCAAAACCGCTGAACCTCAGCGAGTAGGAAGAAGGGCCTGCAACAAACAACTAGAAGCTGGGCGCGGAAGATTTCCGTAAACCCCAAGTTTGAATGTTTGAGCTCTACCGGCCTCATCCCCATGCCAAACCCTAAAACCCTGCAAAATGTTCGATGCAGTTCCCATTTCCCTGGTTCGGTCTCATTGAATTATCGTTACCTTTCCCAAGTTCGTTCTCGTCCTCATTCTCATGGTCACTACCAGTATCACTCGCATCCTGCCTCATCCTGCTCATGCTTGGAATCATGTTAACCCATGCTTTGAACCTTGGTACTACGAACTTGATAGTACGAACATAGTAAAAATGGCATGAGTACTATACTACCTCAAACTTATCAGAAACCTAAACACTAAACCTAAAACCCCCAACCCTAAAACCCTTAATACCCAAGCCTTAAAACCTAAACCCCACACCCCTAAGTCCTAAAACCCCAAACTCTAGGTACAGTACCTTAAGCAGATCATTTAAAAGCAACGAGCAGGACTCCCGTCCAGCTGCGCCGAACCAGCCCAAGAAGAAGCTACGGCTGAACTGGATGGACTTGTTCCCTGGCTGCTGTAGGGTGCAGGGTGTACCTGAAAACAAACCTTGTGAGGAATTATACGTGGTTTGGGGTTTCGGGTGTACCTGGACCCCAAAGAACCTACCTTTCTGAGGAACTCCAAAACGAAATTACACAGAGCCCTAGAAAGATAGGTCATTTAGGGTTCAGGTAGGGTTCAGGGTGGTCTGGGGGTTTAGGGCTTCAGGGTTCGGTCGAGGTTATGTGTTTAGGGTCTAGGGGAGTCTGAGGGTTTGGGTTTAGGGGTTTAGGGTTCGAGGTGTTGGGTTTGGGCTTCGGTCTTCAGAAACCCTAAACCCCTACAGGCCCTAAACTCCACACGCTGAACTCCAAAGCTGCTGAACCCTTAGGTACATCCTCTTCATCTACTTCTTCATTGCGCTCCCCTTGCCGCAGCTCTGCAGTTTCGTTACTGGGGGCTGGGCCTTCCCAGACCGCCTCTTGGCTAAGTTTTGGGGAGGCCTTTATAGTAAGAATAGGGTTCCCTTGAAGGGTCCTTTAAGTGTTCCATGAACGCTGTATCTAAGGGATTTCGGGGTGTAGGAGCCTTAATAAGTAGAACTGGGCTTTTTGAGCACATTTGGCTATAGTAAGAACAGGGAGCCCCCCAAAATTGTGTTGGCAATTGATTAGGCCTCTACAATTCATATGAACTCAAATCTACCGGCTTCGGCGCACAGCTGAGCTAAGAAGAGGTCGGAATACTTGACTATACCAGTCATTAGGGTTATACCTCCCTTAGGATCCACGCACCCACAAAGCAATTAAGGTTTTAGGGTCCAGGTATCAGAAGCCATTCCTGTGCTGTTTGTTTTAGAAAGTTGGTCTTTCGAGCATCCTGTTTGGGTACTTGGACCTTCTGAATTTAGCCCGAGGCCCTGTCTCTTGAGCCCTCTCAGGGAATTTGTGAATCTAGCAGGGCATCCTCAATCCAGTTTGCAAAGCACGGTTGACGAGATATGGCATAATAAGAAACAGTGCAAGCGCAGACATACAGTACGGGCACGACCCAGCAATATTGTCGCTTCGCATGGTGCTCTGCTCTAAACCCTATACCCTCAACCCTAAACCCTAATGCTCCAACTCCTTGATCTCATTTGTGAAGGCACCTGGCAGTCAAGCATCGGCACAGAGACCTCTGGCTGGGATGTAAACTACATCAAAGGACCGCACTACTTGGAGGTTCATGGGTAGTTAAGTTATAAGTAGGGTTATAAGTAGGATAGCTGTAGTTATGACGTATATTAGGGGTACTTATAAACCCACTTACAACTACCCGTGAACATCCAAGGACCCCCAGTGGAGTCCAGAGAGCTTGCGTTAGCGGCTACTGGCTACTGCGAACTAGGGGTGCTTTTCCGAAAAGGATCCTGCTATTCAGGTTTCAATGAAAGGGTCTGTTGGCATGTTCTGAAATACCTGCGCACAGACACACATCCACATACACACACACACACACAAACAAACACACACACACACACATTCACACATTCACACGAACGAACGATCCTCAAACCCGCGCAGAGTTGCGTCTTTGCGAATCTTACGATGATATAGCAAGCCGTCGGTATGTGAAATGCGTGCACATATATATATATATATATATATATATATATATATATGTATATAGCTATATATATATATATATATATATACATAGATACAAGCATATACACAAGTAATGAGTGTGTGTGTGTGTATATATATAGATGGATCTGGTGCACTTTGAGGGCTTGCCCTGCTGTTTTCCACTAGTACCACGAAAACGGAGGATGGCCTCTGGGAGAGAGTTGATGGCTGCCAGCCTGCCACCTTCAACTTGATTAAATCAGGAAGAACCCTAAACCCCTAAACCCTAAACCCGCACAGACTCTCCAGGAGCCGATGTCACATCTGGTCATCGCTGGTATCTGCCCCCTGGTGGCAACGTATTAGGTGGTTTCCGAAAACTAGAGGTACCTAAGGGTCCCTTTTCAGGCTTACTATAAGGGATCTATAAGGGTTCTATAATTGGGATTATGGTAGGGAGTGTGGGGTCCTTATAATAAGGATCCTACTATTTAGGGTACCATATTGGGGTTCGCTAATTTCGGAAACTCCCATATGGGTGGTTGTCAAAATTGGGGTCCCTTCTAATACTTAGGGTACCCAAAAAGGGACCATAATTTTGACAACCACCCACATGCCAGTTGGATTGCAACAGACATTCCAGGATTCGGAGAAGCCTCTAGGTGCTGACACGGCATTGCTACACTGTAGATATCGCTTGGTCGCAGTTATGGTGTAGAGTATGTGTTCTCGCGTTCGGGATCTGAACGAGGTATGAAAAGAGGTTGCTGAACCTAATGGCTCCAGTGTCTATTCGCAGTCGCCCTGGACTCTACAGCCTGAAATCCCCGAATCCCTGAACTCAATAAATCCGTGCGCTGCCTTACTGCCCCGAAGCATCCATAAATCCTGAAGCCCAAGTACCGGCAGCCGCAAGAGATCCTCAAATAGCAGGATCCTTGCTACAAGCACCTCTTGAAGAAGGTACTAGAGTCTGCAGTGTTGGTACTAATTTAATGTAGCCTCATAGTCGCTTTACAACCATACTGCTCTACAACTTACCCCCAACACCCTAGTATGATTTGGTTTTCTTGAGTAGTACCCTAAACCCTAAAACCCTAAAAACCCTATACCCTAAAACCCTATACCCTAAAACCCTGAACCATTCGGCCCCCGTTACCCCCTTAATTTTCAGAAATCCCTGCAGCACCAGGGGGTTTCCGAAAATAGGGGACCCTAATGTAGTACCCTAAATAGTAGGATCCTTATTATGAGGACCCCCAAATACGGTACCCCGGATTTTCAGAAGCCCCCACCACAAGCCAGGCTAATGGTCTTGCAGGCGAAGCTCTACGTGGTGCTTTGCCCTTTGCCTGGCAAAACCCTAAAGGTCCATGTGCCCATAGTATACCCAAAGGGTCCAAAGGAGCCAATAATTAGATACTCGGTTTTAGGATAGTAGTTATGTAGGTTAGGATTTTGGAGAGTATATGATTATTAGGTACTTGGACCCTTGGGGATAGTATATACGTACGGGGTACTTTAGGGCCAAAGTATATACTATTTGGGCACATGGCCCCTTAGGGAAAAGGGAGCGGAAGAGCAATTTGCCGGTTTCAGTTCATCTTGATTTAGGCTTTGGGCTGGCTGTGACTTGTATGCGGTAGATTGTCCTAGTAGTCGATTTTGTAACCTTTAACCTTTTTTCGGTAGTATAGTCCCTATATGATCCCTAAATTACCAAAAAAGGTTAACCTTTAGTTCCCTGTGATACCCGACAAGTAGGTTGTTGGAGCTGAGCTTGCAGTCGAGATGTCCTGAGACGCTTCGCTTCTGAGCCTCCTGCATTGAAGGGCTTAGGATCATACTGTTTGGACCTCAGTGAAAAGAATACTATAGGGGCCTAAATTAAATAATCAATTACCACTACTATTTGTGGGGTTCCTTATTATGAGTATAGTACTATGGGCTCCAAAACCCTATTCTAATTGTTATAAGGCCCCTATAGTAGGGTCTGGTTGCGGAGTCATGAGGCGATGCAATTCGGATCCCGCCGTGGGTCCAAGTTGTCTTCGCCATCTGGTGCACCCCGCCCGCGCTGTAAGGGTGAGGGGTGCAGGATTTAGCGTCAGCAGGTCGGGCTTTTGAGCTTAAACAAATTGGCTCAGCGGCTTGTCCAGATTTGTTTCTTTTGGACTCCTTCGCTTTTTGGATTGAAACTCAAGCGAAAGAATCCAGTTTTGACCGTAGGTTCAACGCCGCTGCAGCTCATGTGCTTCAGATATCCAACAGTGGTCAGCCTTCTCTGAGTGAATTTAGAGTAGTTCCTTTTGCCCAGGAGTCATCCCACACCACTCTCCACCAAACCAGAAGGTCTAATTATTCTGTCTAGGAAGGGATGTCCGTGAATAAAAGTTATGTTATATGGCAGACTTCAGACTTGCGAGTTTTACCAAGCTGTGCAGGTACACCCGTCCTTATGCCATAAACCTCAAACTGCCGTCCAGGTTGTGACATGTCCCCTTGTTTTATCGGCTCAGGCTTCTGCATGAGAGTACGGACGGCATGAAGCTTTCCCACTGCGCGCACTGAATCTCCCAGTGACACAGTTTTGGGTTAGAGTCTTTGGGGGTGAGTCAAAAGGTTAGGTGTTCAGGAGCCGTAGCTCCGGGTGGTAGTCAGGTCCCGAATCGCGCAACCCCTAAACCCTCAACCCCCAAAATCCCTAACCCTAAAACCTCAAGCCGCTTATCCCCTAAGCCACTATAAGCCCACCCTCCCCCAGCCCCACAGTCGGTCCTTTGAGGGTTTAACTGCTCCGCATTCTTCGGCAGGCAGCTACTCTGGCCCAGTCTTCTGGGGAAACACGTGCGGCGACAGTGCCCCTTGGTCTCCAAAGACCGGGGTGTAGGGTTTGGTCTTCGGCCAGGTTTGGTTCAGCTGGGGCCCTTGTGGCCTGTGGATCTCGGTTTTGCCTGCAAAATTAAACCTTGAACGCTGAACCTCCTAGAATTACGTTTCAAGGCCAGGTAAAACCTAAAACTCCTATTTCTTCACTTAAGCTCTAAAGTTAAAAAGCCATGTAAAACCTAAAGATAAGATTCTTCAGCCTTCCAAAACACGAAAACCCGAGCCCCCTAAAACTCTAAACCTTAATCCCACGACCGCAGACCCCAAGAAAAACTGCATCACTGCCCTAAACCCCAAACCCCTATACCCATAAACCCTGACTAAAACCATAAACCCTGAACCCCTAAATTCTAAATCCTAAACCCCTAAACCCCTAAAACCCCGAAATCCAGGTGAGCCCCAGCCTGACCTTTGGCCTGACTTGGCTCCTTGACGGCTGCTGGGCTTCTCGGCTTAGCAGTCCCAAACTCGAGATGTCCTACGGTTTTTAGGGGGTTTAGGGTTTAGGGTTTAGGGGTTTAGGGGGTTTAGGGTTTAGGGGTTTGGAGATTTAGGGGTTTAAGGCCGAAAGTGCGTTGTGGATTCCGAGCAGTTTATCCCCAAATGCCTTAAATACCCTAAACCCTGAAACCTAAATCCTAAACCCTAAAACCAGAACCATGCTTATTCTTAAGGAGGGTTCAGGTTTGGTCCTTTTTTGCTGCGACGACCGCTAGGGTGCAACTCGATCAAACTGCATTGTTTCCATGACCCAAGGGGGGGGTGGTTTAAGCTCAATTCAGGGCTTCAGCGGCCTCCAGCAGCAGCAAGCCCCTAAACCTTAAACCCTAAACCCTAAGTTTAATTGAAAAGAAGGGAACGCTCAACCTGGCGACCGATCCCCTAACCCCAGAGCCTCAAGCTTAGGCAAACCAGAATCCACTGAAGGCTTCATAACTGGGCTTTGGAGTACCATACTTTAATATTTTTCTTAAAGAAACCATTATGAAATAGAAGTTTATACTTTTTTCTCCCTGGTTACTTAAAAGCTCAGATAAACTTTGCCATAACAGCTGACGGCCTGGAGGTGTGGATCCGCTGGGTGGAGTGGTATGCAGCCTTCTATGTGCGACCTGGCTCGCAGAACGATCACGCGGGCTTTCATAAAAGAAAAGTAACTTGCCTACATAGCTTAGGTTTATGATGTGCAGGAGGATCTAAGGCAGACCGATATGCGGCTTAATTATGCGAAGTTCGGGTTTGAGGTTTACGCTGTACACTCTGGCTCGATGTTGTTAGCGATTGAGCAATAGTGTTACGGCTGCTATAGGGCCCTCAATAATTACCCCTACTATTGTTGGAGGTTCCTTATTACATCTACGGTGTACTGAGCCGCAAAGCCCTATTCTAACTACCAAGGCCCCTACATTAGCTTTCTGCTCCTGCAACAGCCCGTGGCCACTAGTTGAACCCATGGCCAGAAACTCTTCGACATGCTGCATAGCCCATGCAAAGTAGGGTATACAAGGTCTAAGGCCTATAAGGGAGTTTCCGAAACTTCAAGGTACCTTATTTGGGGGGTCCTTATTTTAGGGTACTATATCAAGGCTTGCAGGCTTCTTTGGGTTCAAGGCATTGGTTAGGCTTGAGGTATCTTCTTGGATGGTCTGAGCTTCCCCATCCGTAGGTTGCGGCTTTCCGGCATGGAGCGCCTTAACCCGGTATTTTCAAGGACATGTATGAGGAAATCATAATAAGGAGCCCTAAAAAGGTAGGCTATTCAGGATTAAGGTGCCGTCTTTCGTGAGTGCGAACCGACAGCCTCGATGTCTGAACCTCTTGTCCTGGCTCCATTACGGTTTTGGGGCCTGAAGCTCTACTATTTGCTTAAGGACCCCCAAAAAATAAAAAAATATGTATTCCTTATGGGGGTAACATAGGGATTATGATTTTTATTTTTTTGGGGGGGTTCTTAAGCAAATAGTAGAGCTTGCAGGGTCTTTAGGGTTGGTTGTAGGGCGTACGGGGCTTGGGGTTTAACGGATTATAATGCAGGAACCTGATTAAGAAATCCTGGCCCTAGAACAGCAACATAGTAGGATTCTTATAAGGAACCATAATAAAGGCCCAGGGTTTCTTAATCAGGCTCCTACAGTATACCCCAAACCCTAAACCCTAAAACCCTAAACCCTTTATAGAACCCTTATATAGATCCCTTTAAGGAACCCGAAAAGGATCCTACATTAGGGCGGGGCCTGGGCTTTAAGGGCTTCCGGCATTAGGAACGGGTTTAGGGTTTAGGGAATTGCAGGTTCTGCCTTCACTATCTGCGGCCTATCGTCCAGTGGATGTCCAAAGTTGTGCCTCACGGGCCAGTCTGGGCCGCCTCCGTACCTCGTCTTGGAATGCTTTGGGAGCCGCAAAAATTAGAATAGTGTATTGTGCGATATTGCGGTATATCTTTGCCGTTGAACCCGAAGGAATAATGTTGGCAATGACTTAGGCCTCTATATTGAGCTGTGCACCTGAACTCTAAACCCTATCCCTTAAACTCTAAACCCCCTAAGGAGCAAGAGCTTAGGAGCCTCGAAAGTAGCAATCGTTTTCTCATTCCTGGAGCGCCACAATAGAGGATCGTTAAGGTTTAGGGTTTGTCAAGGTTGTTCATTAAGGTTTTCCAATTAAGATCCGTGTGTTACATTGGTAGTTTCTGTAAAGCGAAAACTCCTTTCGTTGCTATCTGCGTCCTGCTTGGTCCTACCTCAATCCCACACGAAACGCTCAACCACCTGCAGGATCGGAAAACTAAACCTTATGCGTCATTCCTGACCCCATCGATTCTAAACCCTTTCTCTCGAACTCAAGCTTCCCAATTCTCACACCTGAATCCGAAGACCGTGACCGAAGCCTATATCGGTAAAACTATATTCCTTACTGATCTTGAGCAGTTCCGTGTAGGGTTTAGGGTCTAGGGGGTTATAAGTAGGGTTCTATTTGGGGCAACTCCGTTAATATAACGCTACTTAAAACCAACTTCCTAAGTCCCCTGGGCCTCTAACTGCGCAAGGCCACAGCTAGCAGCATGCTGATGGGCATGGCAATGGCGATGTACCACTATCCGAACGAGATGTGCCTTGGGTTTAGGCTGTCAGTTTGGTGGTATGGAAAGACTACCCCCTGCGCTTCCTACATATGAACGCTGACATACCAAAAAACACCAGTGTGAGCGTTGATTTGCATGGGGCTCAAGAGTGGTTTGGATATTAATTAGAGGCCTAACGGTGCTCGGCTGCACCGATAGATTGAGACACACAGGTCAAGAATGTAATTTACACAGAAAGGTTCCAAAATCTCGGTGGCGAGAGCCAATATCGTGGAGCATAGGGTATGAAAGCTCAAGGCTATGAAACCCTGCAGCCGGCTGCGGCACTTTCTGGGCCTAAATACTTATAATATAAGTAGACTATAATGGGCCCCAAAACCTTATCCTAATATTATAAGGCCCCTATATTACACCCGGCACATTCCCTGGAGCCCTTCATCTTGCTGCCTCTTGAGCCCTCACCGGCAGACACGGGATTTGGAAGCCCTTTTGCGGATCGTTTCAATGCTACCGGCATCTAAAAGGGACATGTGCGGCAAGGCTTTGCCTACAATAACTCAGTTTGGAATATCTTCCGAAATTCACAGAAGCATGTACTATGCTACTAATAATTGCTTGCACCCAGAAGCTTTAGGCAGACCGTAAGCTGCAATCTCTTTCTTCTACGACTCTGAAGCACCCTGCGCCGCTTTGCCTGCAAGCAACGAAACTCGAGAAGGCAGCACTTCATCGCCTCCACCCAGAACACCCCCACAAACCCCACCCTAATCCCAAAAATTATCCCAAAATCCTACACTCCTGGGCCCATAAATACCCTCACCCCAGCCCCCAACCGCCCACCCAAACGAAAAAGCAGTCCTATACGCGAAATCCCAAAACCTACTTCCTAAGTCAGTCAAAATCCTAGATATCCCCAATTCTAAAAATTGCACAAAATCTCAAAGGGCCCCGAACTCCCAAACTTTGGGCTCCATAAGAGGACCCCTGAAAGTCTTAGAGGATCCCTCAAAGGATCCTTTAAAGGATCCCTTAACAGAGCCCTGTATAGGATCCCTTAAAGGATCCCAATCCCGGGCTCAAAAGGCTCGAAACGGGCGGCGACGGTAAACTCGCAGCGCTCGAGCTTGTGGTGCCCTGTGGGAGGGCTTAGGGTTGAGGGTCTACTGTGTTTAGGGTTTAGGGTGTTTAGGGTGTTTAGGGTTTCGGGCTTTGTTTTTTTTGTTTGGGTTTTGGGGATTTAGAGTTTGGGGTTTAGGGTTTTTGGGGCCTGGGGTTCTGGAGTCTAGTGTAGAGTTTTGTGGTTTTTTTGGAGTTTAGGGTTTGGTGTTTAGGTGATTTTGGGCTCTGCAGGACATAGGAGTTTTGGCGTAAGTGCTGTTCTGAAGACAAGCCCACTTGTAGGTTCAAGGGTAGTTATAAGTAGGATAACCATGGTTATAACCTACATTAGGGGACTTATAACCTCACTTCTAACTACCCATGAACCTCCAAGTATCTTTAAAAAACGCCACTGGAATCCCAAAGTCCGGTTCCGGCTGAAGCCTGAAGCCCAGAAACCGCAAAACTTCTGTCCGACAGGGAACCCAGAGGGTCCTTTTACACTACTATTAGGGCATTAGGTCCCCAAAACCACAATGGGTTTAGGGTTTGGAGCTTAGGGTTGAGATATACACTACTATTATGGAATTAGGTCTCACGGGGATGGTCTTTCAGGGCCTAATTCCATAATAGAAGTGCGTATGGACCGTCTGGGGCATAATCGACCAGGACCCTCTTTGTATGCTTAACTCGGCTTCCATGGACCCCTGAACAAAAAGGGTAGTTTCCGAAAATAGGGGACCTTAATATAGTACCCTAAATAGTAGGATCATTAATATATGGTAAAGTGCCCCTATTTTCGGAAACTCCCATAGGTATTTCGGAGTTTAATAAAGGGTATAGAGGGAGGGAGGCCGACGCGCTTGGGCGATCTGGGCTTTCCGAATATGTACTCAAAACTATACCCCCTTCAAACTCTCAAGCTCTACAATCTTTCACGCCCCCAGAGATTCCAATATCCTTTAATTGAGGAATATTCCTTAAATCATATGAGGGATCCTACTATAATTTCAGGTACGTTCCATTAAGGGATAGTGGAGCCTCTGGGGTCCCCTAACATGTGGAGCTTGCAGCTGAAATCTCACAGCCGAAACCTCGTCCCCGAGCCTCCGACCCCAACCACAGGACGAACACTAAACTTCCTTTAGGGTTTAGGGTTTAGGCTTTAGGGTTTAGGGTCCAGGCTCTCGGGTTTAGGGACTAAAAGCAGTACGGGAGTTTCCGAAAATGGGGGACCCTAATCTAGTACCCTAAATGGTAGGATCATTTTTATAAGACCCCAAAGTAAGGTACCCCTAGTTTACGGAAATTCCAAACCCTTATAGAGCCCCTTTGCAGGAACCCTTACAGTACCCATTATAGTAACCCTTTAAACGAACCCCTATGGTATCCCCCCAAAAGCAACAGACGAAGCGAGCTGCAGATCTCTCTTTACTGCTGACCTTGCCTTTGCTTTAAACCCTAAACCCCTAAACCCCTAAACCCCTAAACCCCTAAACCCCTAAACCCCTAAACCCTAAACCCCTAAACCCTGACCTTGCATTTGCAGGTTACTGCGCTGCAGCCGGGGCTCTTTGCTTTAGGGACGACGCAGCTTCTGCGGAGTTTAGACTGTCGGGCTTTTTGGGTTTTAGGGGTTTAGGGTTTTAGGGTGTAGGAATTAGGGTTGAGGGTTTAGGAATTACGGTTTAGGGTTCAGGATTTAGGGTTCAGGGGTTAGGGGTTTTCGATTCTTCTAGGGTTTCAGGACTGTGTGGTTCAAGAGTTGAGGCTTTAGGTGCGTATGCCTTTCGGGTGATTTCAAACGCAAGGTTTGGAGCTGAAGTGAATCCTAAGGGTCCATGTATCCAAATAGTATTTACTTTGGGCCCAATGTACTTATATAGGGAGTACCTTAAAGCCAAAGCATATACTCTTTAGGCACATGGACCCTTAGGGGCATGATTTTCAGAGCTCTGAGACAGATGGACGTCTATTGGGCTAAGGTGCCTAGAATTTCGTCTGGGTTTTGAGACTTCGAACTTCCTGAGCCTGAAAAACCAAAAAAGGCAGTCTAGAGGCGTAAATGGCCGGAGCTCGAAATTAAGAGTCCGCGAGTGCTGTAGGGTTCAGGAATAAAGGTTTGGACTGCCTGTTCAGGTAATCTCCTCTCTTGACAATGCTGACTCGAATATCAATGCGCTGGAAGAAGGAGGGTTTACTAATGAGGCGTTTACACTACATCTTGAGCTCGAGCACACATCATGAATCATGATGAATAATTGGTTTCTTCGATCTTTGCGACATCTATTCCGATCTTCCGTTCGTGTTTTGTGCTACACGGATTGTTTTAACAAGGGACTCTGCCGCTGACACGTTGTCCCTAAATCCACAGAGCCTCCAAAACTCCAAAACCTCTTAAGGAATATACCTCAAAATACAATAGGACCCCTACTATGGGTATATTCCTTAATCAAGGGGTTTTGGAGGCTCTGGGTGGTAAGTTTCTCGCATGTACTGTATCCTCAGTTTACTGGATGGGGCGTTGCAGGTCAGGAAGCAAACTCTCAGCCCAGAAGCGTACGCGCTGGGAAAACTTCATACATAGAAGTTTAGTAGACAAGACCCTAAACTCTGAGTTCGAAAAGGCTGCACCCTAAACCCATGGCTGTTGATAAACCCTAAACCCTAAACCCCAAAACCCTAAACCCTAAACCCCAAAACCCTAAACCCTAAACCCTAAACCCTAAACCCTAAACCCTAAACCCACAAGCAGCCCAAGACTCCTTCCGCATCAATGAGGTACTGGCCATTGGATGCGAGCTGGTGGGGTTACTTTGTCACAAGAGTTCTCTAGGTAGGGCTTTGGGACATTTTATATTTTCCCTTACTGGGGTTAAGAGGATCTTCTTTACTAATATTTTGCAAAGGCTTTAAAAGCCCCACCTAGTTCTGGGTTCAGAGTGAAATCAGGTTCCTGATTAAGAAACCTTTGGCCTATAACACCAAAGTACTAGGATTCATGTAAGGCACCCTATTAAAGGCCCAAGGTTTCTAAATCAGGTTCCCACATTAGTGTTTACAGCAGGCTAAAGTGCTTCGGAAGTATAGGGCTCTGCGTTTAGAATTGGTTTGGTTGCAATTGCCGGCATTGCAACGGGGTTGGTCAGCTTAGTTGTGTATGCCTTAGGGCTTCGGTTTCAGATTCGGGCTGTTCAGACATGAGTTGGGATTGTCGAGGTTTTGCTGATTTACACCAGCATGTCCGAGGGAACCTGGGCGTGTCTTCCGGGCTTCCATTTCCACCTGAGCCCTAATTCTGAACCCCAAACTTTCCTAATGTGTGCCAAAGACACTTTTGAAGCCAAAGCTTTCCGAATAAGTCAACACTAAAAACGTTGCTTGCAAGTCCCACAGACTGAGACACCCCAAAGACAGAAACTATCCTGAATAAGTACCATAAACACACCTTCCAACAAAACCCTAATCAGTCCCAAGGACATTAAAAGAGCAAACACGCTCTTAAAAAGCAAAACTTTTTTTTGAGCCCCGAAGACACCTTAAACAATGCACTTTCCGATTATGTCCGAAAGGCAGTGTAACAAACCACGAACGAATTTGTAACGAGCCCTAAGTCCCGCAGACACCTTACAGACAAAAACCTCCTTCAAAAGTGACAAAGGCACCTTTAAACAAAGAAACTTCCTATTACGTCCCAAAGACACCTTAAACAAAACACTGTCGGAATAAGTCCCAAAGAAGGCACCTTAAGAACAAGCAGCTTTCCTAATACGAATAAGTCCCAAAGACACCTTAAACAAAACCGAATAGGTCACAAAGGCACCTTTACAGCAAGAACAAAAGCTTCCCTAAGAAGTCCCAAAGGCACCTTTCCAAAAAACAATTCGAAAACTTGTACCACAGCATGCAGCGGCTTCGGGAAAGTATGATAGCATCTTCACTTCGGGTCCGGATCCACGAGAAGTCGGCTCTTTGGGCTCTCGGGTCTAGGGGCTTGCGGGTTTTCTTGCAGCCGAAATAATCTGCAATCCTATTCCTGAGGGTTCATCATGATACTTAAACTACAAGAATATAACCACAATTCCTGTTCTAATGGTTGAGACCTCTATAGTACCATGAGCTACTTTTCGTCGAGCCGCGTTCGACTCATTGGCCCCATAATAGACTTCAACGGAGGCCCTACAAATTGTTAGATTCCTGACTATTAAGACCTGGTCGCTTTTGGGTCTTTACTTTCCGGGTTGAGTACGGTACTTGAGGGTAAGTTGGTTCTATGCCAAGTATCCAAACCCTCGGATGTGGACGTAGCTTCTTCGTGTTCAGGTTTGACGGACTCTCCTTGCGGGTTCAGAGTTGAGGGTTCACCCTAGACCCCTAAACCCTAAACCCCTAAACCCGAAACCCTAAACCCTACACCCTAGTTGCTAGGCTTCAGGGTTTAGGGTGGGTTGAGGGTCCGGCCCGGGTCGTGGTTTCTTTTGGTTCAGAGTTTATGTTATGGTTTAGGGCCCCCCCAACTATTCCTTGTTTTGTTCACAGGGGGTTGTGGATCTTCAGACAGGCTCTGGCCCCAAGCCTCAAGCTCTATGCCGAAGCTGTTTCAGGAAATACGACACTGGGCTGCTACGTCATCCACTTTGTTTTCCGAGATCGCATGACCGAACTTTTCCAGGCCTTCTCGAGTTTCTGGTCGACACAACGTCTAGGATTCAAGTCAGACTGCGATTCACTAGACCAACGAATACCCATCTCTCGCCCTATGCAATACCCCAAGGGGTCATGCACCCAAATAGTCTATACATTGGCCTTACAGTACTCGCTATATTAATATAATTAGGTACTTTGGGCCCAAAGTATATACTTTTTAGGTACATGCAAAGCTTTTCGCCAAGGCAGCCCCTGTAAGCCCTAAACGCTGGAGGCTCTATCAAGCTTTTACAGCCGACAAAGTAAACAAGTTGAAAAGCGCCCAAATCAAACCCAAAAATTGCCTCAAAACGAGGCGGCGCTCACAAACCGGAAAGCCTAATTAAGCCCCAAGCCCTCTGAGCCCCGTTAGCTTTGCAAACCGAAGGGAGAACCTGGCGCAACGTCCTCAAAACCCTATATGTCCTAAAGACTAAGCGTCCTCAAGACCCTATATGTCCTAAAGACTAAGCAGAAACCCTCCCACGCTACACGGCAAAGACAAGATGCAGGTCCTCAGTCGATTCCTCGCTTGGGATTCGAGTGGACTTCTGCTCCCTGTGCCATGGCTATCACAGCTCAAGCGCTTGTTGGATGCTGATGGGTTTACGATAGCGGCCCTAATAATTACCTATACTATTTTTGTGGTTCCTTACTATAAGTATATACTAATTAAGGACCCTAAACCAGGGGCTTAGGGCTTTAGGGTTGCTGATGGGTTTAAGGCTTAGGGCTCGGGTCTTTCAGGGTTGAGGGTCTTTGCGTTGTTTCCGGCTTTGGGCCTTTTGGCGCATGGATGCATGATGCTAGGGCTCAGGTTTAGGGTGAGCTCTGACCGATTCGGGGATTCGGGGAGACTTGCTTCTGTGTTTCGGGTCACAGTCCAGGGCTAAAGTTCTCCGTTTCAGATGAACTTCGCTTGATGATATAGATCCTGCATTACCTTAAGGACCCGAAACTTTGGGAATCATGGTATATGACTTATCGTGGATAATGCAGGATTTATGTTATCAGCCTTTTCACCAAGTCGTGGCCTCCACAAGCCCTGAACCCTAAACCGCCTATATAAACCTTGAACCCGGCACGCTACACTCCTAAACCCTAAGCCCGAAGCCTTACCTGGACTCTGAAGAACCTACCTTTTAAGGACTTGCATAAGGAAATCATGATAAGGAACCCTAAAAAGGTAGGTTCTTCGGGGTCCAAGTAAGCCCTAAACACTCGAACCTGAACCTCAGACCGCAATGATTATTTCGCAAAGCTAATGTTGTCGAGGACTCGAATTCCAGTGCCCGCCTGGGTGTCTACACTCTACCCCTAACCCTAAACCGCCCATTTGCCCCTGTCCAGAAAACTTCAAGATGAACGGAAAGGACGCCTGGAGATTTATGAATACTCTTCAATGTACGTAAAGTTCCTGAGTATATAGGTTTAGCATAATATACCGTTAACTTTCTAAGACCTCTGCCTCTATACATTACTTGAAGATGGCTCCTCTCCGTTCAGGTTCCAGAACTCAACGTTCTCAGAAACCCTGATGAAGCGATCTGTCTCAGAAATAAGGTCCGGTTTGCAACGGCTCAACGCCTAAGAGGGTCCGTCTTGCATGCCCCACGTACAACACAAAGACCCAAAACCCAAAACCCCAATCCTACAAGTCTCAACCCTGACCCTCGACTCGGCCCTGAACCCAAATCCCTCAACCCGTCAACCCCACGACCCTCTTCCCCAGACTCCTCAACCGTAAAGTTTGTTAAAACCCCTAAAACCACGAAGCAACCCTTATAAAGAGCCCAAAATCTGTGCAGAACCCTAATATCCCCCGAAAATCACCCAGCAACCCCCATGAAGAGCCCTAAAGCAATAAAGACCTTTAATATCCATGTGGGCGGTTGTCTAAACTATGGTTCCTTTTTAACTACCCTAAATATTGGTGCCGTATTATAATAAGGACCCCAAAAAAAGGACCCTAATTTTGACAACCACCCATGTATAGAATCCTAAAGACCCTTCGCCCAAATCCTAAACCCTGAACCCTAAACCCCTATAGAATCCCTATAGATCCCTTTAAAAGGGACCGTTTAAGGAACCCCAAAAAATTGACCTGAAGGCTTCCATCCTGGCATGCTGCCTGGGCTTCACCAGCACCGTGGGACCTCTTGGGCACTACGTGCCCTGAGCTGCAAAAGACCGAGGGCTTCAGGGTTTAGGGGTTCAGGGTTGAGGGTTTAGGTTTAGGCTAGGGTTCAGGGTTAGGGCTCAGGGTTTAGGGTTTAGGTTGCCCCTTGAACACCACGTTGCCTGCGCTTAAGCTGGGTTCTTGTCAAGGAATAAAATGTAAGTTATCATGATAGGATCTATAGTAAGTAATATGATGTATTCTTCGTTATGGTAACTTAAATTAACTTCTGCAACAGATCCCAGGATATCTGCGCTTAAGCTGTACCCTGTGAACGCCGGAAATCGACTTGAGGCTTCATTCAAATCCACAGGTATCAGGTCACAGTCACGCATACTGAGTGAGTGGGTGAGGTAACCTCTAACCTTCGGGACGTACACTGCTAGCATGACGCTTCAGATGGGAAAAACAAAATCTAGACCAAAGTGTTCCCTTTCATCTCCACTGTCTACATTGGTCCTACATGTCTTGGACGGGCCTTTGGATTTGGTAACAGGATCTGCGGGTAGGTTTTCGGCTTTGGGCCTCACGCTGCAGTTTTCCTAAGAAGTCTGACAAGTACTATACTTACTCGAGCACCCATTTCGCAACTGATCACAGTCTTTTTGGGACCCTATGCCAGAAAGGCGAACCCTAAGCAACGCCTTTCGAGCCGGGTGGGTTTGAGGTGCTCATTTTGCCGCAGCTGGTCTTCGGGTACCTTCGACGCCGCTGCCTGGCAAGAATTTCGATGGCATCGCAACACTCGGATATCTCGGTTGATGCGCGCAATTAAACTGTAATTTGAAAGAGCGGGCGAACCCCCAACAAAAACAAGCAATGCAAAGCCTGAATGTCGAAGACCGAACCCTTAACCCTAAACCCTGAATCCCTCCACGCCACCGAGCCTTATTCTGGTTTGTGGACCTGGGCTACCCATCTGCAGGTCATTGGACAGGGAAACACACTTTGTACAAGAAGTGAGCTGCAGGATCCAATCGGTTTTCCTGCAGGTCCGGGAAAGGAGCGAGCTGGGACTGGGGACCCTTAGTAAGGGCCCCTATATACGTATATACCCTTAATATAGCCATTATATGCGCATTATATAGCCCATTATAGGGTACGTGAGGTTTACACAGATGTCACTGTGCTGAAGCAGTTCATAGTTTGCCGGGTTGTCCAGCATCATTTGAGAGCTGCAGCCGAAGCCCCTTGCCCACGGTGATGGTTGAAGCTTTGTTATCTTTTTAATTCCTCTTTCGAATCAAAACCATACCCTGCCCTGGAGAACAGCTGCTCGAAGAGGATCTCCTTTCCATGGCTCCTGCAAACTTTGCCGAAGGCTGCATGCATGTCGCTTCGATAGGACTTCCGGTGATGAAATCATCTGGATTTCCTGGCCTCCGATCCTAACTTCCCTCTACATTAGTTTCCAGCTGAGGCGGTGTAGTCGTGTTGTAGGGCACTGGTGGGGATCTTACATCCAGAGGGACCGGATGTGGATGCCAGGTTTGCCTCACTTTCACCCCGATGCCAGCCGACACCATGTGACGTTGTGATCGGATCAGATTGAAAGAAGCAGGGAGTGCATCCAAGATTCGGTGCATGTTATGCAGTGTACTTGGAAGGGCAGGGGACTTAGTAAGTAGGTTATAAGTAGAGTTGTAAATACCCTAAGTGGAGTGACCCCAATGATAACCCTACTTATGAACGACTTACCAAGTCCCCTGCCCTTCCAAGTAGAGCCTCGGAAGACATGCTGACTCTAAGTTGCGCAGCTGCATTCACAGTCAATCGTCCACAGATGCAACGAAGTGCTGTCAATCCGGTGTTACACTTACAGTAGAAGCCAGAAAGTTGGAATATCATTATCATAATCCCTTTAAGGTAAATTATAGGGGATCCTACCATTAATCCATATTCCAACTTTCTGGAGTTCCCGTTACACTCCATGCATTGCAGATACTACGTACTTGACTATTGGGTTGTAAGCGCATCCAACAAGCCGCTCTCCGGCGGAATCTGAGAGACTCGCCCGAAATAGGCCGCAAACATCCGCAATCCCTGAAAAACAGAACCCCCGAAAACCCTGAAGATGCACAGTACTTATGAATGATAGAATGTTAATAGAAAGACGAATTTCTAATAAGACCACAAATACGAGTTATAGTAAGGATACCTAACCCGACGGGTCTCAGGACTCATATTTTAAGGCCTGTGGGCCTAAAGACCATATGATATATATATATATATATATATGGCTTTTGGGCCATTTTGATAATAGAAAGACTCATAATTTCTAATAGAACAAGAATTACGAAGTATAATAATGATGAGGGGTCCGATTGAGTTTCGGCCTTCTCCGTGCTGATGCGCGCTGCTGATCTTCAGAGAACTGCCTGGTAAGGCCGACTCCGAGTGCCGGGGGGGTTTGGGGGGAGGGGTAGGGGGTTTTGGGGGTTTAGGTTCAGGGTTTGTTGGGTTTATGGTTTGTAGTGTTTATAGGGTTTGTAGGGTTTAGGGTTTGTAGTGTTTAGGGTTTGTAGGGTTTAGGGTTTGTAGGGGTTAGGGTTTGCAGGGTTTAGGGTGTATAGGGTTTAGGGTGTATAGGGTTTAGGGTTTACAGGGTTTAGGGTTTATGGGGTTTGGGGTTTATGGGGGTTTTAGGCTTTGTAGTGTTTAGGGAGGGAGGTCGCGGTTTCTTTGATTGATATGTGGGATGGATTTAGAGCAAAGTGTGAAATAGTGCCAAACTGCGGGGATCACATACACAAAGCCGGGCTTGCTGCAAACAGCGGCATGCATTGGTTTGCTACAGCTGCCTGCATCTCAGCACACTCAGTCCAGTCCGCCATCCACTGGCTCTGCAATTTGCAATCTCGTCGCAACATAGAATACTAAGCTATGCTATACTATACATTCATATATCATGACATGTCATGTTTTGTCATATCATATCATACAACGATGATATAGTATGCCTTTGCGGCACCCCGGCATCGAGGGCTCTTGGTCGGATTCCTTCACGGTTGCATTGTTTGTTGGAATTGTGCGCGCTTTGTGAAAAGTGGGGTGACTGGAATCCGTGCCTGTACGTGGGGGTATCAAGCCGTAAGGGTGGCGAGTATTGCAAAGGTGGAACATGCCACACGGCTACATTTAGAGGTGTCAGGCCGGCCAGGTAGGTTGAGGCCTCGGGGTTAAGTTTATGAATGAAACTTCGGAAATTGGCGTCGCGGCTTTTGACGAAACTTACATCATAAGATAGCAGACGGGCATTCAATTCAGTTCAGAGCTTGTCTGTCAATGCTCAAGTGTTTCTTGGTTCCCCTTTCCGTTTGGCAACGAACGGTTTTGCTGATTCTTTTTGGCCCAAGCCTTTCACTAACAGGTTTCTTAGAAAACGCAGATGTATTTGTGGGAGGGTTTTTGCGATTTATCGCGCTTTCAAAATTCTTAAACCTAAAGTGCTAGATCCTTTAGTCTGTGAAACTGCTGCGTAGCTTGGCGATGTCGACTCCAGCTGGGCGCCAAAGTGCGCCGAGCATGGCATTTGGCACCTGGGATGACCAGGAAAGGCAATACAGGGAACTCCAGAAAGTTGGAATATGGATTAATGGCAGGATCCCCTATAATTTACCGTAAAGGGGTTACCATAATGATATTCCAACTTTCTGGCTTCTACTGTACAGGGGCCTTACCAAGCAGAAGAGGGTTTTGGTGTCACATTCATGAACCCCAAGGGTCCAAGTACCTGATCATCATATACTCTCCAAAATCCTAACCTACATAACTCCTATCCTAAAACCGAGTACCTAATTGTTGGGTCCTTTGGACCCTTGGGGGAACCCTACCACTATGGGCTATTAGACCCTAAAGATCCCTATTAGGACCCTATGAAGGGTAGATTAAGGTACCCATAAGGTCTAATAGCCCATAGTGGTAAGGCAGAGGCAGCCTTGCAGAGCCGAACTTTGGGCATGGAAACCTGATTGCAGTCATCGACAGAAGGCCTGCAAGTATCCCTCAATACGGATGATGATATAAATCTTGCATTACCCAAAATAAGGAATGTACCATAATTCCCATAGTTTAGGGTCCTTAAGGTAATGCAGGATTTACATCACCAACCGTATCAGACCGCTACAGCTCGTCTGGTGTCGAAGAGAGCGACCTCAGTAGTCTCAATAGGTTTTTTAAGATAGGTTGTTACTGCTTGGAAGGGCAGGGGACTTAGTAAGTCGTTCATAAGTAGGGTTATCATTGGGGTAACTCCACTTAGGGTACTTATAACTTTACTTATAACCTACTTACTAAGTCCCCTGCCCTTCCGAGTGATGCTTCAGGACCCGATTACCCGTATATCCAAGGCATTCTGGTGCTGCTTCTTCTCGGCCACCTGCGCCAAGCGGATTCTGAGGTGCCCGAAAAGCATGGGCGAAACGAGCCATTAACGGAGCACCGGGCGTTTGGATTTAGGACAAAGGCATCACTGCATTATAGGGGCCTGAACAATCATCTATACTATTTTGGGTGTGCCTTGCCATGATTATGGTATAATGGGCCCGACAACCCTATTCTAATCATTAAGGCCCCAATAGTATCCTGTACGCTGTACGGTCTACTCTTTCATCATGAGTTCAGGCAGCATCGTTCTTCGGGTGTGCGATTGTGGCCGTTTGGGTCCACCTCTGTGTGGCTTCCCAGGGCTCAACCCTGAACCCTAAACTAAACCCTAACCCTAAACTCATAGGGATCCTTAGGGGTGTAGGGGGTAGGGGGCCTTAAGGCCCATAATAAGGACTAATAAGGCCTATTTAAGGAAATATAGTCCCCTACACCCCTCCCCCCTACACCCCTAAGGATCCCTATGATAAACCTCAAGCTCATCTGAATCCCAGTGGTCAGCACCTTAGAGCCGCCAAGGACTCCCGACAGGTTGTGGATGTTTTTCTCTTCCGAGTTTCAGATGCATGTGGGAGTTTCCGAAGATTAGGGGTACCTTATTTTGGGGTCCTTATGTTAAGGATCCTACTATTTAAGGTACTACATTAGGGTCCCCCATTTTCGGAAAACCCCCATGTGTTTGAAGTTTATAGTGTTCTCGTTAGGATTTGTTGATTCTGTGGGGTCCGTTTTACAGCAAAGCAGATTAGCTCTTCGGCCAGTCATGGACGGCAATCCTGAGCCCGATGAATACCCTGAAATACTGTTGATGATATAAACCCTGCATTACCTTCAGGACCCTAAACTATGGGAATTATAGTATAGTCCTTATTATGGGTAATGCAGGATTTATATCACCAACCGTAGCACCCCATACAGGGTTTCCTACACCCTGAAACGTCCCTCGACATGGTCCTTAGTATTTCAACTTTGTCTGGGTCACGGCTGCTCCGGCAACAGATGCCAACCTAAAAATACGGTTGATGATAGAAATCCTGCATTACCTTAAGGATCCTCAACTATGGGAATTCTGGTATATTCCTCATTATGGGTAATGCAGGGCTTATATCATTAACCGTATGAATCGTATGTTGGCCCCCTAAACTGTTTCAACTAAACTCGGAACTTGAACAGATCAGTGGAGAGTTTGAAGCTCTCGGCCTAGAGCCGCAATGTTTTTCGTAACAATTATCGGAGCTAGGACACCAACATGCAAGCAGCCTGCTGACTTCGTTGCCCATTCACTGTGTGTTGCAATTGTTTTTTAGCATGTTTATTCGGCAAAAACCCTAAACCCCTAAACCCTAAACTTTCATTCGGCAAAAACCCTAAAACCTAAGCCCTGTCTTCATGGGCATGGTTGTGCACAGGGTGCGGTTCGAATCCATGGCCTGGTCCCAGGTTCTAAAATGCAAGGCCTCCCTACATAGCACCGAATGACTGGTTGATGAATGGTATTACAGCGGTTCCAAACCCCTTTATATACATTCCGGAACCTCCCTTTGATCCTCTCAAGCTCATTCCACAGTCAAAAACTCCTAGTGACAAGCCTCTGGTATCATCTGGCAGGTGTCTGGCGCAAGCTTTGAGGACTACTACAACAAGGAGCCTATTCTAAGGACCCAACAGCCCATCAGCTAGGTACCAGAGTCGAGGGCAAGATGGGTTTAGGATGATAGTAATGTGGGTTAGTATGTGGAGAACATGTCATAGTTGCCTACGCCAACTGCCCTACACCCCCTTGCAAAACAACATCAATCGTCATGAGAAAGACTACAGGCCCCACTCGAGGCACAGAAAGTCTGATGGCTTAACCCACTGTTTGACCCGGTGTCATGGTGACGGGGCTTGAACTAGGATGCCCAGTAGTACCCTTATTCCCTTTTTGTAGTCCTAGGTTCCTCATAAAGTTACCCAATACCAAAAAGAGAGGCCTTTTTATTCTTAGGTTACTGGGTATCCTAGTGAATGAACTCCTGAATAAGTCGAGGGCGCACGACATTTCGGGTTGAGTGTTCGGCGGTTCAGTCCTCCAAAACCTAGAGACCCTCGACACCCCCCAACCCCAAAACCTACCCTGCCCACTGCCCCATCCTGGGTTCAGGAGTGCAAGTCAACCTACCAACACTATAGCAAATAACAGGGTTTCCCAATTGGAACAACTTAGAACTAGTTCCTTCACAACAACCCCTCTTGCCAAGATGGAGGATCCTTTCAAATCCTACGATTTCACGACCAGCCGGGTGAGCGATGAGTTTCGGCAGTCTGTGGCCGGCATCGAGCGTGACAACAAAGACAAGGCCCTCCTTTGATGGACTATACTCGGAAAGATCAACAGGTGTGCCGACAGCTTTAAGTGGGATTTGTCCAGCTCGACTATTCTAGACCATTTGCACCTTCTGAGAGTTGTTGCTGTTCTTCCTTCAATGTGGCTTGGTTAGATACTAAGCCCTAAACCCTAATGCTCACCTAAACCCTAAACTCTAAACCCTAAACCCTAACCCCTAAACCCTAAACCCTAAACTCTAAACCCTAAACCAAAACCCTAAACCCTAAACCCCTAAACCCCTAAACCCCTAAACCCTAAACCCTAAACCCTAGCCCCTAAACCCTAAACTCTAAACGGTTATTCTGTTGTGCCGAGATGTGAGCACGGGCCTTCTGCAGATACACGCAACAGCGCACAACACCACACCAGAGCTACGGCGTAAAGCTACTAGGGTTTAGGGTTTAGGCTTTAGGGTTTAGGGTTTAGGGCTACTTTGAACCCCAAGATTCCAAAGGAGCCACTAATTATGGTACTCGGTTTTAGGATAGTAGTTATCAGCTTCAAAAGACGGCTTGAACCCTAAAGCCTAAACCCTAGCCCCTAAACCCTAAAGCTACAAGGGTACTTACAGGGCCTGCCAGGGAGTCCGCAAGCCACGCTACGCTGGGCTTAGGGTTTTGGGTTTTGTGTTGGTTGGGGGTTTAGAGTTTATGGGGTTATAGAGTTTAGGGTTCAGGATTTAGTTCAGGGTTTTCGGATCTCTGGTCAGTGCGATTGGGATTTATGTTCAGATGTTTGGGGCCTGATGGGGCTTTTGAGCTCAATTTTCTCATAGTTGGGGTTGCAGTTCAGCAGTCAAGGTTTCAGGTGCAGTAGGTTTGCGTTTTTTATGGTTGAGGGTTTAACGATCAGAATGTCTTTCAAACGGCTGTTGATGAACTTCTGAACCCTATACCCGAAAACGCAAACCCTCAAACCTTGAAAGCCTAACCCCTCGGCCTCAATCCCTAGACCCTCTGCTACCCAGACTCCAAAATCCCTGAATTTAGCAATGCACCTCATACCTCAAACTATGTGGTGGGTCCTACTATAGTTTAAGGTATATTCCTTAATTCAGGGGATGTTGGAGTCTCTCTGGGTATGCTTTGGGATGAGCTTTGGGTGCCCGAGGCCAGCACCATGGGCATTTACAGGACAGTCGGACTTTTTTTCGTGAGGGTTTAGGGTTTTGGGCAGTTAGTTACCCAGACCCCCGGAAAGATCTAGAAAACAGTTTAGGGCCCTATACCACTAAAGGGTCCTTTATAGGAACCCCCTTAAGGGAGCCACATTTTGGATCCTCCCGGGGGTCTGGGTACAGGATAGACGATGAGTGAGGGAGGTTTTCTAAATGGGGGTTTCCGCAAATAGGGGACCCTAAATAGTAGGATCCTTATTATAAGGACCCCCAAATAAGGTACCCCTAGTTTTCGGAAACTCCCAAATTGGGGCCTTGTCAGGCAGATCCGAGTTCAGGGAGCCGCCACCAGGGCTTTTCCTGCGGCGAACGCCGGTACTAGGATGCCCAGTAGTACCCTTATTCCCTTTTTGTAGTCCTAGGTTCCTTATAAAGTTACCCAATACCAAAAAGAGAGGCCTTTTTATTCTTAGGTTACTGGGTATCCCAGAAATGCTCGAAGAGTGAACCGAACCCGTACCAATCTCACACAGCTGTATAGGCACTAACGATCATAACATTGAAGCCGGCCCCCATAAAACCCAAACCCTCAACCCCTAAGTTGCTCCTCCCAGCCTGCAGACCCTCAACCTTAAACCCTCTACAACCAGAAACTCTGAACCCTTAAACCCTGAACCGCCAAGGCCTACAAACCTGAAACCCTGAAACCCCCTTGACCGCAGGTGGTTCTGTACCGCGCGATGTCTCTTTACACCTACATCATGACCTGGTTCATGCACGGCATCATGACACAGCAGCGTCTGACGCTGGGTCTTGAGAAGTTTGGTTTAGCATCTGTAGGGGGTTTAGAGTGACATTTCGTCTGACGGCTGTTCGGGCATCGTTGCTTTGGTTTTTGATTCAGAGTTTAGGGCGCAGTTGGGTTGTTCTGCTGCGTGCTGATATATGTGCCTATGCATTATCCTCAGCATTATTGATTGTGATTGTAGCGGCTGTAGCTGAACATGCCCATAACACCATTCTGAATATGAAGGCCCCTATACCCCTACATCCCCTTTCAAGCCTCATAGAACCGCTGCAGGAATCCCCTTCAAGGAACCTCATACCAACAGAGTTCAGATCTAAACTACAAGCCCCGGCTGTGATGCGCATGAGGCGTTTCTTGGTGTTGTTTGGTCTTGTTTCGCCCTATTTTTCGGGCTCCTTGTGATTATATGCAGGATCCTGCGATCATTGTTGCTGTGATTATTCTTCTTATGATCATCATGTTCGTTGTGCTTTTGAATTTGGCTGTGTTTATCGCCACGATTCCGGGCCGGTCCATTAGGCTCAACTTTATTTCGATACTAGTATCATGTCTATACATATATATATATATATATATATATTTATATATACATATACATATACATGCATAAGCAATTTTACAGCTAAGTACTTATTTAGTTTTTTGTGTTTTTTTTTTTTTTTGTGTGTGTGTGTGTTTGCTGATCTGCGTATGTATACATGTAAGTATATATGTATGTAAGTATGTATGCATGTACGTATGTACCAATTTTTGTGAACATTATATATGTGCATGTGCATAACATATATCTATATATACAATATGTGTATGTATGTATGTATGTATGTATGTATGTATGTATGTATGTATGTGTGTGTGTGTAGATTATAGGAGTCTGTTGCACGCAAAAAATTGCATGTCATACGTCTTGCTGTTACGCACCATGCAAGACTCACGGATGCACACAACCCCCTCCGGTACAAAAACAAGACGGTGCATAATTGTTCATCTAGAAGTGCATCTTGCGAAGCTTGCTAAGGAAACTAGTCATCGTAAGGACAATAGTGAACATAGCTGTTCCGTACCTATAGTTTGACAGCATTCTGTTCATTGCGTGCGTATGTATGCTCGATCTTTCGAACTATGACAAAGATGTGTTCTTGGCTAGTGGACTTCGTGGTCGAGGAGCACAGGTACAGCAGGCATACAGCTCATCTGTACAGGAGTTTGATCTGCAACATGCCAAGGAGAATGGAGCGGCGAGTTTAGATGTAGGCTACCCATGTTGGTATCCTCATCCTTCTGGTTCTTAATATGTTGCTTGGGGGGAGTGGGTGTTGTCGTTCTGAGGTATCTCGAATGCCGGGGAGCATTGGGGCAAGACTGGCGGTTTAAACCCTAAACCCGAAACCGCGGACCGCATCTAGACCCAGTAAACCCTGGACCCTGACTCAGGGTGGTGACCAGAGGTTTCCCGTGCATACTACTGTTGAAGATATACATCCTGCAAGACCTTAAGGACCCTAAACTATGGGAGTTATGGTATATTCTTCATTGTGGGTAATGCAGGATTTATATCCCCAAACCCTACACCCTAAAATCCTATAGATCCCTTAAAGGGACCCCTTAGAAAGGTACCCTTATAGATCCCTTAAAAGGAACCCTAGGATTTAGATCATCAACCGTCTCAGGAGCTGGCCGTTTTCAGGGCCTGGGGGTGAATCCCGGGAGTTGCCGCTTGCGCTGGGCGTCTTCGGGCCCGGGGAAGACTTTCCCAAGCGGCTCGGTGTGCACGAATAAGGTTTAGGGTTTGGGGTTTAGGGTTTAGGCTTTGAAGTTTGGGGTTTAGGGTTTGGAGTTTGCGGTTTAGGGTTTAGGGGTTTAGGGTTTAGGGCAAGTGGCAGTGGCACTTGCTCGCTTGGACGTGGCGAATGTCGTGGTTGCAAGCGATTGGCGTCGTTTAGCTTTGATGGTAACCGCACGCCCAGTAGCCGCTGATCAGCGGTTGCGAGCGGATGTTTGAATTGAAAACATTCGTATATTAACCCTTCAGCCCTACATTCCGATAACTTAGCCCCTCAGCCTTTGAGCCCAAAAAAGCAGGAACTACCCCAAACCCCAAACCCTAAACCCTAGACCCCAAACCCCAAACCCTAAACCCTAGACCCTAAACCCTAAACCCTAAACCTTAAACTCTAACCCTAAACCCTAAACCCTAAACCCTAAACCTTAAACCCTAACCCTAAACCCTAGACCCTAGACCCTAAACCCTAAACCCTAAACCCTAAACCCTAGACCCTAGACCCTAAACCCTAGACCCTAGACCCTAAACCCTAAACCCTAAACCCTAAACCCTAAACTGCAACTGAACGTCTCGGCTCCGAGGTTCCCCCTGGTAGATGCATCTGTGTGCACCTACACGAGACTCGCAGTGAAGGCACCTTCGCTTTTCAGGTCTGCCTAGGGTTCAGGATCTTCGGGTTCTTAGGGTTTGGGGTTTAGGGTTTAGGGTTTGGGGTTTAGGGTTTAGGGTTTGGGGTTTAGGGTTTAGGGTTTGGGGTTTAGGGTTTAAGTAGTAGAGTAGGTAACCTTTAACCTGTTTTGTGTAGTATAGTCCCTATATAACCCCTATGTAACCAAAAAGGTTAACCTTTAGTTCCCCATGAGACTCGACAAGTAGGTCTGTCTAGGGCTTGACAGAGACGGTTCGGGGTTGAAGGTTTGGGTCCTTTGCCCCTAACCATACCCAAGCTTAGGGGACTTGAGCAAGTCTAATGAAGCTCGGTGGTGCCAATGTGGCGCACAACATCGCATGCCACAACAACTTCATCATCGCGAGGTTCTTCAAAGAAGTGCGAATGCAATTTGTGTTGGCGCTGTTCGAATAATTCCTCAATCCTAAACCCGAGCCGAGCGCTCCAAACAGACTGCGAATCCCGGCATCCTCAGGCGACTTCAAGCCTGTAGCCCCATATCGTACAAATGGAGTAAAACCCCCTCCAGGTCCGTGACAAAGATCCCGAGAATGCGGCAAGACTGGGCGTGGGTACTGTTGGATATGTTGACGATGCCACTGGATACAGGCCTCTTCGGGCTTTGCTGCACAAGGTATGCGATTAGCCATGTAACACGATATATCTGAAGGTCGGCAACCCTGGGCTAAAAGATTTTGCTCGCAAGCCTCGGCTTATGGTATTCAGCATTGAGGGTTCAGTTTCGACCGTTTTAGACAACGTGGTCGTCCCCACCAGTCACCAGCATTGACCCCAAGCAGCGAAACAGCACCTAGCAGTCCAAGCCCTCGTTATGTACCGAAGAACCATTCCGAAGCGCCCCTGATGCTCCCAAGCCAACACCACCCCACGAGTCCAAAATGTACACCGAGCACGATTTGCACTCCAGAGCACGCACGGCCGTGGGAGGAACACGAGTCGCCCTCAAAGTTTGTGAGGGGCTGTGGCGGCGGCACGCGAGACTGTGCCGGGAAGACGACACCTCCAAATCAGTTTTCAAAAGACGATGTCCACCACAAAACCACACACATGCAATCCTGAGTTTCGCACCAGTTGATTTGTTCATTTTTGCTGGCGCCGCCGGCCAGCGAGGCCCCAACGGGACTGTGGAAAGAATGCAAGTCAGCAACCGAATCCAGTTGCTTTCAACGTGGGATTCCTGTAGCATTATTGCAGCTACTTGGATAATATGTCAGGTTTTACAGGATGTGATGCGTGCAAGCAAGATGCTTTCAAACCTGTCCAACTCGTATCTTCTTCGCGCTTAGCAGCTCTAGATCCAATTGTTGCCCCAAGCTTCGACCGAGATGGCCACACTAGCCCTCCACCATTGCTTCCGCCATGGAGGTATAATGTCAGTTACAAGACCGAGTGGAAGGGCTACTACGGCTGCCAGGACATGTAGAAGTTTGAGAAAACTAAGGCACGGCGAATATAGACCAAAATGTGCAGTTTCTTTGCGACACCTGTGAAACTGTGAAACCCCTTCTCAATTGACCTAATGCCCCCAAGCCGAATTCCACGAAACTGGGCGGGTGCAGGGGGGGTTGGCTCGCGTTAAACCAGGCTCTAGCTACCTTTAGCCTACTTAACAAGAACTCTCCTCATGGCCAACTTACGGACTGCCCTTGCCAAATATGTGGTGTCAACCCTACTTTCTCGAACTCTAGCCGCCAAATCTTCAGCCCTAAAGTTTGAACCCTTAAATCCAGGGCCCGAAGGGGCCCAGACTGTAAGCCTTTGCCGTAGTTTCAAAGTCATGGGAGGTGTATTAGGCACCTCACTTGCATCCACAACTAAGTGTCTATCCTCACCCTGCGTAAGACGTAAGACACTCCTACCTAATACTGAAGAAGTCACGAAGCCTATAAACCCAACCTCCACCCTACCGAATTCCTAGAACTTATAACAACCCCGGGCCCCAAACCCGAGAAAAAAACTCACCTCCCCCAAAGACTGGCCCTGGCAGCTTCAAAGATTTAAAGACATTTCCCAGACATTTAACGACATTTTTACATATATTTAAAGACATGTAAAGACCTTTGCAGATATTTGCGGATAGTTAAAGATATTTAAATATATTTACAGATATTTACAGTCATTTAAAGCAAGATTTTTAAATCGCTTATAGATCTGAAGCGAAGCCCGAAGACCAAAAGCCGAGGGTTGCGGGCTGTCGGTTCAGATGGGGTTGGGGTTCCTGGCTTCGGGAGGGCCGCGATACGTTTTGGAAGATGAGGATTCTGGTTTGAGTTTTGGGGCTGCGTGTGGTGTGCTGTATATGGTCGGCCTCCAGCCCTTTTAGAAACTTCGGGGGCCCTTGCAGGCTTCATGGTGTGTTGTGCGTGTTCGGGGTGTGTTGTTTGTGTGCGCGTGCGTGTTGTGCGGCGGTGGAGGCGAGAGAGCACGGCTCAAGACTAAAACCCACACAACACTGCGGGGAACTATGGCGATGCAGCCTTTACTGTGCATCTTGTTCCCCACCCTCGGTGTGGGGTTGTGAGATTTTACAGTCAGCTATTACTCCTCGCCCGCTGAGATTACCTCCTGGAGTACCCAACCCCACAGACTTCCGTGAGAATACCGTGAGAATCCCTGGAGTGCTCAACCCCACAGACCCACAGACTACAGTGAGAATCCCTGGAGTGCCCAACACCACAGACTACAGTGAGAATCCCTGGAGTGCCCAATCGCACAGACTACCGTGAGAATCCCTGGAGTGCTCGGGAACACCACGGTTTAAGGTTTAGGCGGGTTCTTTAGGTCTTAGGATTTGCGTGTAGGAAGGACAAGGCGCTAGGGTGGGGATGTTCAAAGTCAATTGACTTGTTTTGCAGGATTTGCTCGACGAAGAACTGGTCGAGATGAATGAGCACGTTGCACCACTGATGTCCGAAGAGGCCTTGAAGAAAGGCGGGCCCAGCGTGCAACTACAATCAGTAAGATGGTACAACCCTTGTGAAGTACGCCCAGAAGCGTGGGATCCCGTTAGGGTTTACGGCTGAAGCCCGAGAAACTTCCCTCATGTTCGCAGTTCACGGTCTTTAGTTGCTACATTGTTCCAAGTCGCTTGTGTTGCATAGGTGGCATGAGATTTCGGATGACAGTAATTGAACCGGGGAGGTTCGCAAGTATTGAGAGCTGTGCGCCTATGGTTTGGTTTGTTACAAAGTAAAAGCCAGAAAGTTGGAATATCATTATCCTAACCCTTCTATGGTAAATTATAGGGTATCCTACCCTGAAACCATATTCCAACTTTCTGGATTCTGGAGTAATTGTCTGATGCCCAAAACTCAGAGTTGCATGCGTCTTTCCTTTGCCGATAGGCCTGGGCATCCAGGACTGCGCAGGTTGTTTCCAGATTGTCCCAAATCCCAAAACCCAAAACCTAAATCCTTAACTGGTCCTGACACATATATATATATATATAGATATATACACACCTACACATATTTATTTATAAGGCGCTCCCATTCCAACCATTCAGGCCCCCTTCTGAACCTCCTGCAGTCCTTGGGTCTCTCTCGCGCTGGCCAGGCCATGTTTCTACTGCTGCAGACTTCCTCAGGTACTTGGATGACGCTGGGGCCTAGAACATCAGCAGTATAAGGGGTCGCAGTAACATGCCCTTGTAGTCCCGTTTAAAAATCGAGCATCATATATCCCAATGCCTCACTCTAATGGACACTAAATCTATAGGGGACTTCGTAAGTCGTTTATAAGTAGGGTTGTAATCGGCGTAAGCTCATTTAGGGTACGTATAACTGTACATATAACCTACTTACTACGTCCCCTGCCCCTCCAAGTGGGCTCCTTCAGTCCCGGTTGTTTACCCACGAAGGTCACACTAAACCACAGCCGCATTGGAAGATAGAAAAAGCATTCAAACACGTTATGAATAGGGTTTAAGTTTAGGGTTTAGGTTTTCCTGGAAGCTGCAACGCAGCCTCTAAACCTGAGGCCTACCGAACTCCTAGAAAGCTGCATGCCAACCGAAGCCGAGTCCGAAGCCCCAACAGAATCGAAAAATCCACCAAATCCGCAAGACGGGCCTTAAGAATTGCCCATACGATTTTGGGTGTTCCTTACGGTTTTTACAATATAATTTACCCCAAGACCCTTTTCTCCGGTTATTAATTGTTTCAGATACCCCAAAACCCCTATTCCAGTTTTAGTTACCAACGCCCCCGGATGAAGCTCCCCAGCTTCCTAGGTCCCCAACATCCATAAAAAGCAATAACAGGGAGTTTCCGAAAACTAGGGATACCCCTTATTTTGGAGTCTTTATAATAAGGATCCTACAATTTAGGGTACTGTAGTAGGGTCCCCTATTGCCTACCCCCCCTCCCCCAAAAAAATCCGCAGACCCTAAATGCCAACTCCCAGGACCCGTCTTGAGAATGCCCGAAGCCATACAAAGACCCCCAAGAAAGCTCTTGTAAGGAAACCAAACCTTAAGCGAAGGCCGATGACCTCAAATTGAAACCCGGTTAAATCTTAAAGCCACAAACCCTAAACCCCTAAACTCTCAAACCCAATGTCCCAACCTCCAAACCCAAAGCCCCTAACCCCTAAACTCTGAAACGTATAAACCCTACAGCTCTAAGCCCTTAGCCAAACGGGGTTCGAAACACTGATGCAGTTAAAGCGAAGGACACCACACTAGGATGGTGGAGGGTTTAGGGGTTGAGAGTTTAGGGGTTATTTGGGTTTAGGGTCACAGGGCTGCGATCCCCGAAGGACGAGGTGGGAGAATGGAGAGATTCTTCTTGGGGCTCCAACGGCAAGCTGCCAGTGACGGTGGGACTGCAAGCCAGGCGTGGTCCTTTCAGGTTTCAGGTTATGATTTCAGGGCTTCAGGGTTTAGGGTTTATTAACGGTTTCAAGGTTTACTTGGAGGTTCACGGGTAGTTATAAGTGCGCTTTTAAGTAGGATCGATAACTATGGTTATAACATATATTAGGGGACTTATAACCCCAGTTATCACTACCCATGAACCTCCAAGTAGGCTTTCAGAGTCAGGTTGAGGATTTCAGGGTTGAGAGTTTACAGTAGAAGCCAGAAAGTTGGAATATCATTATCGTAACCCCTTGAAGGTAAATTATAGGGGATCCTACCATGTATCCATATTCCAACTTTCTGGAGTTCCCTTTAGGGTTTCGGGGGCTTCGGGTTTGGGGTTTCAGGGGTTGGGGGACCCTTTGACGTTTGATCGGGCCCTGGAGGGTGGTGTGGCTTCCCAGAGTTTCGGGGTTTGCGAGCTTCCCTAAGGGTCCAAGTACCCACTTACCATATACTCTCAGAAATCTTGGCGTTCTTCTGGTTGGCTCTTAGGACTGTAACTTTTTGGGTTTCTATAAGTAATTAACTATAATAAGGAGGCCAAAAGTTAACTTTTAGGAGGGGTTCAGAAGTCAGCCAAGAAATAGTAGCCTACATGACTACTACCCCAAACCCGAGTACCTAAATATTGGGCCGGTTTGGAGGTTTGGAGCTTAAGACGTTGATCTCGAGGGTCCCGGGCCGCTAGAAGGCTTGGGTTTGCGGGGGTGGGAGTTGGAATTCGGTTTAGGGCTTCGGGATTTGCGGGTTTAGGGTTCAGGGCCTGGGATTTGGGTTTAGGGTTTAGGGCCTGGGTTTAGGGCTTGGCGGCTTGGGGTTCAGGTGCCTTCAGTTCTTAAGGCATGGAACTGAGGGAGCCATTGGGGGAAGAATCTAGCTGACGGCGTGATTGCCGGCCGTGAATGTGTCGGGGTGCAGGGTCAGGCCAGCGGTGAGGGGGGTCATGATTCCACGAGGTGAAGCCCTAAACCCAGGCCCTAAACCCTAAACCCAGGCCCTAGCCTCTAAACCCCATACTCATAAGGACCCTTACGGGGGTAGGGCCAGGGAGGACTTAGAAAGGCCTACTGAAGGAAGCACAGTCCCCTGCCCCCTCCCCCCTGCCCCCCTAAGGGTACCTAAACCCCCCAAAATCCCTAAACCCGTAAACCCCCAAACCCTAAGCCCTAATCCCTAAACCCGCAACCCAGGCCCTAACCCCCAAACCCTGAAAGTCGTGCTTGATTATGTCTTGAGGCCGCGAGGGGATAGGCGACAACCAGGGTGACCAGGAAGTTGATGATGCCTAGGTTCCTGGGTAGTACCCTTTTTGCCCTTTTTGGTTTAGGGCCCTCTGACTAAAATTGAGTATTAGGGAAAAGGGTACCCTTATTATCAGAGGGTTACTCCGGAACCTGGATGCTGATGCTGACCATCATGACTACTGTGCAGTCATAAAGAGACAAAGAAAGGAAGAAAGAACTTGGGAAAGAATGAAATCAACAACGAACGACAGAAAGAACAAGCAGGAAGGACATAAATCAAGAAAGAAGTGGTAGTGATGATGCTGACGCTCCTGCTGCAGATGGTGATGATGATGGTGAGCTGATGATACTTATTGGTCTCTTGTCGAGGGGAACTGCGCAGAGTCTTCTGCCCTCAAAAAGCCTGTTTTGCTGCGGCTAGGTTGCTTCAGCTGTGCTTGCTTAGTGCTTATGAATTCAGCGTTGGGCTGTGCAGCGAAATCCGTTGTCCGTAGTTGTTCAGTGTAAACCGTTAACACGCTCGGTAAACTTTATAGCCTGATGCCGCCATGTTCGTAAACCGAGCCTATGTTTAGACGTATATCTTATTTCCTGGAAGAATTCGGCAACCGCCACAAAACACTACCTGGAGCAAAAGCCACAAGCAGCAGCGATGACAGTTGTCGGAACTGTAGTTCAGTAAGTCAGTACCAGCAGTGTCATTATTCGTATTCATCTGTACGTGGAAGAGATTACTTGTTACAGACCCCAATGCGCTGTAGATCCTTAGCCGGAAACCTTCAACCCTACCGTAGACCTAAACCCTAAACCCTAAACCTGCCGTGCTCCCGTGAGGCTCTTCCAGGTGAGCATGAACTTGCTGAGCAAAGCCTCGGCTGACCCGAAAGCGGATGAAGGTCGAGCTTTGGGTAATATAGGGGACTTAAGAATTATCTATACTATACTGTTACGTATTGGGGCTTCCTGATTATAATCATAGTATAATGGCCCCAAAACCCTATTCTAATTATTAAGGCCTCTACTTAGATTAACCCTTAGGGTGCATGTACCCCGAGGGATACACCCGATAAACCCCCTAGACACACCCCTAAATCCTAAACCCTAACTCCTAAACCCTAAACCCTAAAAGCCTATAACCCTATACCCTCTGAACTCCCATGATGTTAAACGCGGAGAAACGGCCAGGAGCGTATGCAACCTTGCCGGAGATAGACTTTTAAATTGGGACAACCGAAAGCACCTAACTCCTTTCTGTCATGCCGGACCGAAAAAACAACCAGCAATGCTTTTTCTGGCTTCCATTAGAGATTATATACATCCCCCAGACGGATTTTTGCAAGATGATGCTTCGCTGCACCAATTTGTATGTATGTAACTGGACAAAACAGCAACATGTGTTTAACTGTCGTCCCCAGCCTGCTTAAGATCGGAAGCAAGCAAACAGTGCGGACAAAAGCGCCCTTTGTGTAAACCGTAGTTGTCGTCCTCCGCCTTTTCCTGATTTTGCCTCAGGGGTTGTTTCCGGATCCCCATCACCCCGAGATTGGGGGTCTGGGTTTGGACATCCCCCTCACATCCCCCGACAGCCTGGCTGTACCCGCACCGGCTTTACACCCACCCGCCCCCCCCCCGCCCCATACCCCTGTGGCCCCGCCCTGCCTAACGAACCAACCAACAAAGTATCTGAGAATTGGCGGGGTGCGGGGCGGAAGGGCAAAAATCCCAAACAATTGCCCCTAAACCCTAAACCTTTTGTGTTAAAAAAAAACCTTTTGTGTCAACTCTCGTTCAGAACCCCCGCCAGGTTCTTCGCCCTGGGAGACATTTCTTGAACAGGCCACCGCTTCGTGTTGGGGTCCATGTAATCATATAGTATATACATTGGCCTTAATGTAGTCCCTAGAAAGGTACTTTGGGGCCCATGTATCTCTATATGGGTACATGGACCCTTAGGGTTCATGTTAGAGCCATGTCGTTGTTTTGAATCGTTTCGCAACAGCAGCGGAAATCGCCAACAAGGCAGAAGCTAGAACACATTGAACCCTACGTTCTACAGTGTTTCCCCTAAATAGTCGGATCCTTATTGTAAGGATTTTAAAATAAGGTAACTCCTATTTTTGGAAACTCCCATACCGGAGTCTCTGGGCAGGAACTCTTTAAGGGGTACTTAAAGGTTCATGGGACTCGAAGCCATTTCTGCAGTGTCAACCCTGACGACTGTGACCTGCGACCAGGGTTTTTTTACAAGCTACGACCTGGTGCATCCATTGGAGTCTTCGGTGCGCAACTACGGCAGCAGCTGGAATCGCCCGGACTCTGGGATGAACCTTCAGAAAGTGATTATTGTGTACCCCCAAGGGTCCAAAGGACCCAATCATCAGGTACTTGGTTTTAGGATAGTAGTTCTGTAGGTTAGGATTTGGGGAAGTATATAAATATTAGGTACTTGGACCCTTGGGGTAAGGGTTTAAGGTTATGTTAGGATTTAGGGATTGGGGTCTTGGGGCAATTCAGGATTTCGGATGAGCATTAAAACACCAACACATCCAAGGACAAGCTTTTGCTGGAGTCGATTATCCCCGCAGCTGCACGTGCGAATGTGGAAGCGTTACTGGCTTTGCTGACCTGTGTCGCAGAGCATGCCTTTCAGCTTCGCGACCGAAACTATGCCTTTTTTGGACATGTGTTTGGCTTGACGGTTCCCGCACTGCGTGAAGAAGGAAACACAGAATCAGAAAGCTCATATTATACAACATATATACAGACGAACATATTATATATAGAAGCTTTCTTATACAGATATCATATATCTACTGACTTGCTATCTTAGGGACTCCAAGAGAAGCCCAGGAAAGTTGATTGACTTCTGCTGGCACCTTGGTGAAGGGCAGTTGCAGTTGGGTCCAGATGCGAGCCCGAGCGTGGATTATGATGAGATTGCGAGTGTGCAGACGAAGGAGGCCAATGTTGGAGGGGTCAACATGGCTTAGGGTCGCTGAGTGTTAGTGCCACTTTGTTTAGGACCGTGCTTTCAAGGGGTTTCTGGTTGAGGGGTTGCTGGTTTTCGGGATTTAGGCTGCAAACGGTTTTGAAAAGAGCTGGGGGCTATTTATACAGGATCCCACTTCCAGAACAAGACCAAACTAGAGAGCCGATAGGATTGCCGCTTGAATAAACATTAAACCCTAAACCCTAAGATCCGAAGACCCCAGGCCTGAAACCCGGCCCTGTTGCGCCGCTAAGCTGTCTGGTTCTTAATAGGGAATCCGGTTCCTTTAAGGGTTACTATAAGGGTTATACTATAGGGGTTTAGGGTTCTTAGCTGTCTGTGGGGCAATGGATTATGAGACTATTCTTGGGGATTATAGGGATTACTTTAGGGAACCATGCCCCCATGCCCTACTAAGCACCAGACAGTAAAGCGGACAGGCCATTCGCAAGTTGAAAGATGCCGAAGCTCCTGCAAAACCCGACTTCGGGGCCACTCGGGTGCTGTTGCAACTGATCCTTCCAGAAACCGATGCCAACGAGCTGGCGTATGCCTCTGGGCCAGTAATATAGCGGCCGAAACAATTGCCTACTCCATTTTGGGGGTTCCTTATGATAATTGTGGCAGAGTGGACCCCAAAACCCTATTCTAAATATTCAGGCCCTTACAGTAATACGTTTGTAAGCCTTCGAGTTGCTACACCTGAACCTCTCAACCGGGCAACCCCAACCAGACCCTAGAACTTTCAGGGCTTGATGCTCTTGGGTATGAAGGTGTTAAAATTTGGGATTCGAGGCTCGGCAATTGCAAATCCCTAGCTCTAAGGGGGGTTCAATCCAGGGCCCGAAAGTCCATGATCCTCCTTCCCCGAGTCATGAAACCATAAACCCACCAGCCTCGAGCCTCCAAATCTTTCAGCCTGAGTCCAACACTCAAAGGGGAAAGGAGGGACCCTTAATGGGGACCCCTACCCTATAATGTATATAATAGCTATATGAAGGGTATATACCTAGGGATTCTTATTAAGGGTCCCTCCTCTTACCCTTGGAAACACCAAGTCCCAACAGCAAAATCTCTGATCCGATCATGAGAAGCCCTATGGGTGGGTCCATGTACCCAAATACTTACATTTGGGTAGTAGGGAATGGAGGAATGGGGTACAATTCAAACTACTAGTGCGACCATTCTTCCATTTCCTACTAACCAAAGGTAAGAATAGTATATACTTTTGAGGTTAAAGTACTCTCTATGTAGGTACATTGGGCCCAAAGTATATACTCTTTGGGTACATGGACCCTTAGGGAAGTAAGAAGCAGCCCTGCCTGATCCTGGGATTCAGAAAGCCACGTGGACGTAACTATTTCCGGGGGCTAGATCCGGTGTAGGCAAGTTCCCAGTGTGACAGAGAACTCTATACTTAAAACTCGGGACCGTCACTGCTACAAACTAAGAACTTGAACTATTGAACCCGAAATCTGAACCCCTAAACCCTATACCCTGAATCCAAAGCCCAAAACAAAGTTTCACAGTATGCCATACCCGTTCGGAGCTTCTAGGTTAGGGTTTAGGATGCTTTGGGTTTTAAGGCTTAGGGTTCAGGCTTTACCCAATGGCCCCGTAATAGTTCCTTTTTGGGGTTCATATATAGAATCCTATCAGGTAATCCCCAAAAGGAACTCCTATGGGGCCTACGGGTAGGGCTGTGTTCGTGGATTTAGTTGCAGTCTTCCACCTTCAGTCTCCTAGAAACCATGTTCGGGACGTTCGGGTTTCAGGAATCGGGTTGCCTCGCTAGCTGATCAGCCCGGTGCTTAGTAGGGAATGGGGGAATGGATCCCTATAGTAGCCCGTATAGTATACCCAAAACCCTACTCTAGTAATGGGTTTTCGGGAGTTGGGTCGACCTAACTCGAGACTGTCTCGCCGAAGCTAGAACCGAAAGGCCCGACTCTACAGCTTCCCGAAGAACTCTGAAGCCAGAAAACATGGGTTGTTCTCTGAATTAGGGGTCCCTTCGTAGGTCCCCAAAATAGTACCACACTCTGATGGGACCCTAAGAGGGACCCGAGTTTGGAGAACTACTCACACAATCAGATGCCAAAGAGCCCTTCACCCCTGAACCGCCCTAGACGACAAGCCTCGAAACAGACGCCGCGCATACCCACCTACCCCTAGCGATTGAACCCTGGAGAATAAGTTGAGAATAAGACCAGTCCATCCAAGAAACAGCCAAAATGAAAAGGTAAAAGATGAAAAAGAAATACAAGTTGGTAATTGAACAACTAGCCTTGAACTTACTTGAACCCCAGAAACTCCCTCCCAAACATATTGCTCAAAATCGCCTGGACTTGAAAGCATGCACCACTAAACAATAAACCCTAACCCCCTGCAATTCATAGGGATCCTTAGGGGTGTAGGGGGGAGGGGTGTAGGGGACTATATTTCCTTAAATAGGCCTTATTAGTCCTTATTATGGGCCTTAAGGCCCCCTACCCCCCCTCCCCCCACACCCCTAAGGATCCCTATGATGGAATCCTAACACCTTCGACCTTGCCGAGGTAAGCACCGATCGGCGCGATTCATCAGGGCCGCCGCCTGGCCACGTACCCCAGAGGCGTCGCGAAGATGGCGGTTTTGGGTTTTAGGGTTTAGGGTTCAGGGTTTTAGGGTTTAGGGTTTTAGGGTTTAGGGTGTAGGGTTCAGGGTTTTACGGTTTAGGGTGTAGGGCTTGGGGTCTAGATTCGGAGCTGGGTCTGAACCTCAAAGCCTTACACCTAAGAGCCCAGCGCCTTTGTGGGTTTGGCATCCGGTCTTGGGAGGCGTTACTCGGAGGATCATGGGACTTAGTAAGGGTCCTTAAAGGGTTCTCTAAAGGGATCTGTAGGGTTCCTTACAGGGATCTATAGAGTTTAGGGTTTAGGGTCTACTTGGAGGATCATGGGACTTCGTAACTAAGGTTAGAAGTACCTCAATAGGGGTTATAAGTAGTTATAAGTCGAGTCACCCTAGTTATAACCCCAGTTACTAAGTCCTATGATCCTTTAAGTAGACCCTAAACCCTAAACCCTGTAGATCCCTTTAGGAACCCTATAGATCCCTTTAAAGAGCCCTTTAAATACAGTTTAACAGTTCGGGTCCGACTTTCCAAGCCTCTTAGAGCCTTACCCTAAGGGTCCATGTACCTAAATAGTACATACATTGGCCTTAAAGTACTCCCTATAGGGTACATTGGGCCCAAAGTGTATACTATTTGGGTACATGGACCCTTATACCCTAAACCCTTATGGATCCCTTATAGATCCCTTTAAAGGAACCTTTATGGTACCCTAAAGGAACCCTACTATTTGGGTACATGGACCCTATGGGTTAGACCCTAGACCCGGGAGCTACAACCCGAACCTGCAAGCCTCAAGCCCCTAAATCCGAAGGCCTGCACCCCGTAAAACCCTAAGCCCGAAAAGTCCAGCACTAATTCCTAAGTTAGGTTCCCGAATACCCTCACTAAAGCCACTAAGTTCTGTGGCTGAGGGTGTGAAACTTCGGATGTTTCTACTTCTCGGCTGCCGTGAAGCAGGGTTTTCCTGTCATACAGTTAGACTTAGGGGTTTAGTTTTTCATGGCTTACTTTCAACGCTCGTTTCGGAGAACCTTGAGATCTTCCGTTCCGAACAATAATATAAGCCCCACAACCCCATAATAGCTGTAGTGTTTTAGGGTTTAGGACTGAGTGTTCCATCTTGACGAAAATAAAGCCTTGTAATCTCGGTGGAAGTATGAGGGTTTAGGCTTTAGGGTACTCTAGTCATTCGTCCATTGCAAGAATCGGGTGCTTCCCTTTTTTCCTGCCAGGTGGCGCGGCCAAAGCTTCACCGACGCCTACAATGCCCTGAAGATACTTGGCACCCATGTGTTCACAACGCAAACCCTTTATCAGACCTTGAGAGCTCTGAAGTACCATTGCCCTGAAACCCTGAATGAAAGCTATGAACCACAGAAGACCCGAAACCCCAAAACCTTCGCAACCCTGAAACTTCCTCCACCCAGTGCCCCAGAAGTATACAAAACTCTCCGGCTCGTGGGGTCAAGCATGCGACATGCATGGCCACGAAGCTGGTTTCTCAATTTCCTCACCTCCAGCATCCAGCCCGGAGACCTCATCCCCACAAACCTCTCAATCAAGGAACACCGAGGATGGAGACAAGGCGGCCATGTCTTGGCACTCCGGTTTCGAATTTGCTATAGGTGGTATTGCCAGGGTCACCGCAACTCATCCCAAATCCCGGGTTCAGAGCTTGTCCGTTGCGGCAACATCAAATTCACCAAAGAAGTGTGACAGGCAACCTGCCCCAATCCTGATTCGTTCGGAAACTTCATGGTACGGTTGATGATATAAATCCTGCATTACCCATAACAAGGAATATACCATAATTCCCATCGTTTAGTGTCCTTAAGGTAATGCAGGGTTTGTATCATCAACGGTAGTATGGGTGCCACATTCTGAAGTCGATGCCACAATGCGTGGCATGGGAAGCTTACCCTGCCAACCACAGTCTGCAGGCTGTACATGCTTGGAGGTTCAAGGGTAGCTAGAAGGGTTCCTTTAAGGGTCCCTTTAAAAGGGATCTCTATGGATTCTACAAGGGTATAGGGTTTAGGGTCTACCTGGAGGTTCATGGGTAGTTATAAGTAGGGTCATAAATAGGGTAACTATACGTATAAACTCTATTAGGGGACTTTAACTCCACTTATAAATGCCCATGAATCTCCAAGTGGAGTACTCAGAGTATCTTTAAACGGTTCAGACACCTGCTTTGCGAGGTAGTCCAGACGGTTTAGGTTCAGGGTTTGCCGCAGGTCAATGGTACAAGGGTTGTCTCGTAAACAGAAACGGCAGCAGAGATATCGCGCACATGAACGGCAACTTGAAATCTCTTGCCCTCGTATTTCATCTATGGCTCGGAATTTCAGGGTAGTTCAAGAAGGATAGGCAGTGTAAGCCAATGCCCGCGACACCGCTTCAATGTGCCATCGCTGGTTCGGCTTGAGGCAAAGACCTCAGAGATTAACTGACAAGCGAAAACTACGAGTTCAGCCTTAGGGTAAGTCTCCCTTCAAGACATCATCCCCTGGCAGCCATGAGGCATGATGCACAGAAAGACCAACATGCTGCTTGAGGCCTTCAGCTAAGTACTAAATGTGCAATCCGAAACCCGAGACCCCGAAACAAGACCCCTACAAGACCGTAAGCCCTAAACCATACCTTAACCCTGCATAACCTGCCTTTCTAGGGTTTTGTTCTGATCAGGGTAGGTTATTCGCGGTTACAGTAAGCTTGATTCTGCGGCAGGTCACAGCTCGAGTGCTTCTGCGTCTGAAGCCCTTTGCTCTTGGCGATGGCATCCGTTTCGTCGCACACGCCCCGTCCTTTCGAGATAACGATGCTCTGCCTGCAGTTTTTTGTTTGGGGAGGGGGCGGGGGTTGCGAGGTGGGTTGGGGGGGAGTTGTAACATTAGTGGTAGTTCATGCAAGCAGCTAGTCGAGCATGCTCAATGCGTGCGCCAAGCAAAGAATCACTTGTAGGTCTAGAGGTATGTGTATACAGATACACATATAGACGTATGTGTTCGTGCATGTATATGTCTGTATACTGAAATACACTTACATGTATGCAGTATTTTCTAGATATGCATACGTATCATATATACACATGCATGCATGCATATATACATACTGAAGCATCACGACACAAGACAAGACCACACAACACAACACAACACAACACCACACGAAGCAAGACAACACCACACAGTACAACACAGCACGACAGAGCATAATAATACAACATACGAGATGATGTAAGCATTTTCGCAGGTGTAAATATGTGACTGTCCTCATACGTTGAGCACGATGGCAGTCAACGGGAAGGACGCAGGGTCACTTCGGGGGCTTGGGCAAAGCTCGCCAAAGCTTGAACTATGGCAACTATGGCTCAAAGTGCTTCAAGCCTGGCCTGAACGCTTGATGTTTTTAGCTCCCAATGCATAACCGTGTTTAGGGATTAGGGTTCATGGGTTTATAGGTTTACGGTTTAGGGTGCAAGGTCCCCAATGCATATCCGCGTGTAGGATACCTTGCCCCTCTAGCTTAAGTTGAGGTCGATGGCCATGTCAAAGGTTGGACGCAGAACAAAAGCTTCAAGAACTCGTTAGTCCGCGAAACCTGGAGTGACAACTTGCAGTCTTCAAACCAGCCTGTGATGGTGATGGTGATATGTCTCAATAGGGGGTATGGCTATAAGGCAAAAATTGCAGCCAAGGATGCCTGGCTGTTGATGCAACACATCTTGAACGATGCGCTTGCCTACACGTTGCTTGGCGACGGATGCGCTTACCTTACAGGATTCTACATATGAGCCCCAAAAAGGAACCATTATGGGGCCTCTGGGACTCCGAAATCGGGTGTGGTTCGTTTCAGATTGTTTTCGTGGAGTCAGGATGGCAACAGGGCGTCATGTCATGAGCTAGGAGATGTGCACATGTACTCTCTCTCTCTCTCTCTGTATATATATATATATGTATATACACACGTACATACATAAATACGTACATGCATGCATACATACCTGCATACATACCACCGGAACCCATCAAGGGAACCCATCAAGGCCAAAAATGTCCATCACATGGGCACGTGAACCGTGAACCCTTGCAGAGCCTCATGGAACTCTTATAGTACCCTTATAGATCTTATCTTCCCCTTATCGTAACCCAAGGCTTGATGGTGTAGAAAGTCGGAGACCATTGGGGACGCAGCTGAAAACAGGTCCATTCATTCTGGAGCTAGGTTGCCTTATACTTTGTCCAGCTTTGGGAAATCACAAACTGTCGATCAGCGTTCAGCTTTGGCATGCTGTCCGTTCGTCGATTGCATTGTTGATGAATCGTTTCTGGTCAAGTTCCCTTCAAGGAAGCAATCGTGGAATCACAAGGTTTCTGTCGATTGAGGTTCAGCTGGCCTATCGAAGTCCATGCACAGCGCCGGGAATCCTGGTCACTGCGTGCGAAGTGCGTGATTGCGAGCCTGCTGCTGCTTCCATGTCTTCTCTGCTGTGTCTTCCTGAGCCTCGGCTTAAAGCCTGAACGGCAGGCGCAGTGTCTGGGGTTTCTGGCCGTTTCGTTGTCTTTTGAGTGACCCTGGCCTCCGCACGCCCTCTTTGCAATTTATAGTTCCGTGCTTGGCAGTGACCGGAAGTTTGATATTTACTTGAAAAGCCGTTAGCGGACTGTAATGCGCTCTATACTCTCACAATAACTCAGCAAGCACTAAGTACACTCCTATCCTAGACTTACCTTTGGTTAGTAGGGAATTGAGGAATGGGGTACAACTATAACTACTATTCTACCATCCTTCCAAACCCTAAACCCTAAACCAAAGGTAAGCAGACCCTAAACCCTAAACCCCCAAAACCCAAAAAAAACCAAAAACACCAAAAACCCGAAACCCTAAACTGTGAGACCCAGCTCGGAATTTGAAGCTAAGACTTCTCTCTGTTTGAAGCCCCGCAGTGCTGTCGGCGAGCCCTGTCTCGGATGGTTCTGGTATGTTCTGGTTACTTCAAGGGTCATGGGACTTAGTAACTGGGGTTATAATCAGGGTAACTCTACTTATAACTACTTATAACCCCAATTGAGATACTTATGACCTTACTTACTAAGTCCCATGATCCTCCAAGTACGATATTTAAAGGTGATTACTCGGCCTGTGTGGTCACTACTGCTTGTACCACACTAATCACAAGGATCACCAGAAAGACTTCACTGCTACGTTCACCTTGATTGCGTTAAACCGTAATTCGCATGAAGTTGCACATCCCATAGTCTCGTTTGCAAGGTTGTACCCGAAACCTTAAACCCTTAAACCCTTGAAAAACCCTAAACCTTCCCTAAACCCTATACCCAAACCCTAAACCCCTAAACCCCTAAACCCTAAACCAATAAACCCGAAACCCTAAATAAACCCTAAACCGTAGTCTCGTTTACAAGGTCGTACTGGCGTACACCATGCAATCTTTGTTTTGGATACCTGAGAGGAACCTGAAAGGACGTAGAACCCTGAAGAATTACAAACGTCACTCCATGGGGTTGGTTTATATATATGTATAATATATATATATATATATATATATATATGTATATATATATATATACATACATACATACATACACATACACATACACATACACATACACATCCACATACACATACACATACACATACACATACACATACATACATACATACGTATATATGTACTTGTTTTGTAAGATGCTCCAAAACCCGCTTAAATATATTGCAGCCTTCTGAGTTCGATGCGCAGGGTTTAAGGAGTTCGGGCCCAGGCCAGGAATGGCAGGTCATGGGGCCAGGACCACTCCTCGAACATTTAGGGTTAGGGGTTGGCTTTCTGTAACAGTTGCGGGTTTAGAGGTTTTGTTTCGGGTCTTAGGGTGAGCGCATGAAGCGTGAAGAAAGCAAGGTCGAGCCCTAGTATCACATACCCCATGCAGTGTTCTGAATACGATCAGACCACAGGTTAAGGCTCAAAGTTACACTTGCATCTTGATGTCATGCATGACAGCTTAGGATCCACCGGCGAAATCGCATCCAAGCACACGCTTTCACCTGAAATGCAGCCTGGCGACTGAGTGTGCAGGCGTTCCGAAGTTTCGAGCGTAGTATACAGTAGATCTGCAGACTTAGCTAGCGGTACTGTCCCCGACATCTCCTTCTCATTGCTAAGCCGCCATTGTTAAACCCGAAGCCGCCCGAAATCCTGTTCCAAGTCTTAAGGAAGTTTTTGGGGATCTTAGCCTTGGGGTCTAGGGCTTCGGAGACTTTAGGGATCTTACATCAAAGGGGAAAAGGAGGGACCCTTAATGGGGACCCCTACCCTGTAATGGGCTGTTTTCTGTGTATATAATAGCTATTTTAAGGGTATATACCTAGGGCCTAGGGTCCTTATTAAAGGGTCCCTCCTTTTACCCTTGGATTAGAGTTCAAGCTTGAATCTCGGAATGTTGAGGTGTGAGTTTGCAGCGAATGCCTGACTGCGACGGCCAAATTCCGTCACCCCAAAGCCTAGACGGGTCTCCTCCAAATCACGCACGCAATCAGCTTATTCTTCGCAAATACTAACCTTCCCTGACACCTGTGCTATCATCTCAACTATCCATGAATTGTGTCCTCTTCTGCCCAGAACCCAAACCCTAAGCCCCTAAACTAAGGCTTCTGGAGCACGAACGGCATCTGACACGCCGAATCGAGCGACAGCGAGCGAGAAAGAGCTCCGGCGATCTTCGCCGCTTTCCGGAAGCCCTCGGCCCTTTCATGTTCGATGGCCATCATATGGGTAGTTTTCTGAGTCAGGGGTCCTCCCCAAAACGACACTCTTAATGACACGGACAGTAAACGCGACCCAATTTAGGGAACCACTCATATGACGTAGAGTTTCTGATGAGACGGGCGTCATCCTGTTTGACCACGGCTTCTCTTCTGCTAGGGATTAAGGTACCGGGCTTAGGGGTTTAGCGGTATAGGGTTTAGGGGTTTAGGGTTTAGGGGTTTAGGGGTTTAGGGTTTAGGGGTTTAGGGGTTTGGGGTTCAAGGTGTAGGGGTCGAGTTTAGGGTTTAGGGGTTTAGGGTTAGTTCGGATCCCAGGGCTTTTGGATTGAGAGTAAGAGTTAGTACAGGGTTTAGGGCTTAGGGTTTTTTTTTTAAGAAGGGCTTATAAAGGGGCGTAGGGCGTATATTGAGACTTAGTCGTATAGTAGGGTTTAGGGTCTTCCGGGGTCTAGCAGGTATGGTTGGTTCGTTTAGGGTTTAGACGGGGGAAGGGGCTTCCCATCTCGGATTTAGGTGTTCGTTCGCAGTAGGGTATTTTGGGTTGATAGTAACGTGGTGAGGCCGTGCCAGTCTCATTGTATGACACTGAGCACGGTGATGCGAAGGCGATTAGTAGCTTGTTCAGCTAGAGCTGCACGTGTGTTCGTTCTACGTGGTTTTGGTTCACCAACCTTAAACCCCTAAACCCCCTAAACCCCGTAAACCCCTAAACCCTAAACCCCTAAACACCTTAAACCCCGTAAACCCCTAAACCCTAAACCCCTAAACCCCTAAACCCCCTAAACCCCGTAAACCCCGTAAACCCCTAAGCCCTAAACCCCTAAACACCCCCGAAGCCCCCTTTAAACCCTAAACCCTAGACCCCCTAACCCCCCCCTTACCCCCCAAGCCCCCTAAACCCTCTACAGTAAAAGCCAGAAAGTTGGAATATGATTATCCTAAACCCTTCTATGGTAAATTATAGGGTATCCTACCCTGAAACCATATTCCAACTTTCTGGAGTTCCCCCTAAACCCTCTAAACCCCAAGCCATGTGGGTCGGCCGTGGCTCCAGCTTCTCCAGGCCACGGGTGCGATTTTTGCCAGGCAAAAGACCTGGAATCCTCCAGACTTCCTCCCATAATATATACATATAATTCCTAAACCCTAAAACCGTATATATATATATATATATATATATTAGTTTGGGGTTCCTTATTATGATTACAGCGAAATAATTGTATGTACACCTCCAAACCATATTTTCATCCAGGCTCCCATGTTATACAGCCCTGGCATTTTAAACATCTGAGCTGGGAAAATAGAAACGGACCGGAGGCCAGCAAAACCCGGAATCCTTCATCTAGCAGCCCATGGCCCATGACAGTACCCAGCAATGCATCGGACAGGCTTACCCCTAAGAATTCAACCTTGGACCTTTAACCCTTACGATGCAAGAAGAAGCCCCTCAACCCGTAAGGTGCAGGAAGAAGATTTGGAGGATAAGTATAAAGCCTGCAGCAGCGAACTAGGGTTTACGCTTTAGGGCTGAACCTAGCTTCGAGTCGCGGGGGCCTTCTTAGTTTTGGCTGCCTGTGCCGGAGGAGCTTGTAGGTTTAGTTCTGAGAATGGCTTCTCAGCGCGAAGTCGAATATGCCTCGCCGTTGAATGGAATCACCTCAGATGCCGAGGACGCACTTTACTTTCACTCTAAGCTTGAAAACTTATTGTTTTGTGTTATTCGCTTGAGGGTTTGAGAACTCCTACCCCAAAGTCCTAAAGCCCAAATCTAGGCATTACCTTAACCCTGAATAACCTACCTTTTTAGGGCTCCTTATTACGATTTCCTTGTATAAGTCCTTGAAAAGGTAGGTTCTTCCGGGTTAACGTACTCTAAGCGTCTCGAAATTTTGAACCTCAAGCGGAGGCCTCTCAAGTGATGGTTCCTTCATGCTTTGGTGTTGTCTGGATCTTATAATGTATTTTCCCAGACCCCCGGGAGGATCTAGAAAGTAGATCCCCTAATTTGGGGCCCTATATCACTAAGGGTACTTTATAGGCACCCCCATTAAGGGATCTACTTTTTGGATCATTTTAGGGGTCGGGGTTACTGTAAGAAGTGGTGATTGAAGGGGTATGGGCGGTCGAGGGTTTGAGCAAAGTAGTCGGGTCCAGTGACCACGGTCATTCTTAGGACCATGGTTAATCTGCTTGTACTTCGGCTTAGTGTTTAGGGTTTAGGGTACCTGTAGTTAGTACGATGTTTATTACGATGGCTGTCATTGCTTTGTTGTCAGTCACCTGGTTGGCGATGGGTTTCACCACTGAGTGAAATCAGGACGACGAGAACTCTTCCCGGTTTTGGAAGCTCGATTTGGAGCGTGCTCACTTCCGGCAAGAGAAGCTGGGTTCTTATTGAAGGACTTAATTGAAGCAACCGCAGTGTGTTGATCAACGTACTTCAATCAACAAACCGCAGTAGGCATATACAGGTGAAAAGTTGTTTTCCGTATTTTTGCGGCACCCTAAGTCTAGCAGGGCAAACTCTCCGAAACCTACCCATTTGTGAAGAACCTCTATGGAATCCTTCATAACCTCTCATACCGAGGATGTGTTCATGGGCAGCTATCCGGGACACCCTTCGGTTTGCATTCTGGCTCGCTGCTGGCTTCGGTTTAGATTGGTTCATGGACGTTCTTGCGGATCAAGACCACTCTGGTGTCGTAGAAGAGATTCAGTCTCTTTGGCTCCTGATTACGCTTGGTGGTACCATCGTGGCTTTTTACTACCGCAACTGGTGGCTTCTGGGCGTCTGCGTGGGTGGCGATATCTGTCTCCTGAGCAGGGATTTGCTGTATCATCGGACCTGGCAGCAGTGCGTCAACGAGTATGTGGAGGTTTCATACACCGTGAACCAGATCTTCGCTTTGTTCCTTGGCCCCTTCGTGGCTTGGTGGTTTGTGGTGACATCCCGCGCCCTAGACCGACTCTATGAGTTCGTTCCACGAACTGCGGACATCAAGAACATAGACAAGAGCCTGGGCTTGGGAGTACCATTCTTTCATGCTTTTTTGGGGGACATGTTACTCAAAGGGAACCATTCTGAAATAGAGGTCTGTACTTTTTCTCCCTGGTTACTTCAAAGCCCAGGAGCCGCGATGGCTTGTTGCACTTTGTTTTTGGCAGGGACCCGGCGAAAGAAGGCATTTTCGGCTTCACGGCCAATGTCCTCAAGCCACTGCTTCAAGTGAAAATCAAAAGAGAGTATCTTAGTTCTCCAATAGCCAGCCTTGAAGCGTGTTGGGTTCTTATACTTAAAATAGTAATCCGAAAGCTCAACCTCCTATTCCTCTGGCTGCTTGGGGGAAATACGTACCCAAAAAGCCCAATATCCCTTAATTAAGGAATATACCTTAAACCATAATATGAAGGCCCCTATAACTTAAGGTACATTCCTTAATTAAGGGGTATTGGAGTCCGCTAAACCCTTAACCCTATAGATCCCTTACAGGAACCCTATAGATCCCTTATAGATCCCTTTAAAGGAACCTGGGTATATTCCTTAATTAAGGGATATTGGGATCTCTGAGTAAGGTATGAACAGCAGCCGCAGTCGGCGAGAGTGCCCTTGGAGGTCGACTTCTACAAGGAGTACGCTTCAAAGAAGGTGCGAACCACCCCCCCCCCCGCCGGGCACCCCTGGGTTTAGCATTTAGGGTTGAGAGGTTTAGGGCTTAGGGGTTTAGGGTTTAAGGGTTAGGGTTTAGGGTTTAGGGATTTCGGGCTTAGGGCGCCAATCCCGGAAACACAAAGAAATCTCACCCTGCATCCTAATGTGCAATCCCTGTTTTTCTGAAGCTCTGCAGAAACCATGTAGCCATCCGAACGAACCCTCAGCAGAAAATTCCAACCCCCTATGCCCGAAGCCCTAAACTCCCTCAACCCCTCACCCTATGTAATGTACATACATATATATACATATATATATGTATGATAATACAGATATGACTACTTATATACATATACATATATATATATATATATATATGTTATACATATATATATATATATATATATGTAGGTATTATAAAGTCGTATTCGTATTGCTATGGTTGATTACTACTAGTAATACTGCTTTTACTATTATGACTGTTGTTACCGTTATTTAAATACTACTGTTGATAATATAAATCCTGCATGACCCCTAATAAGGAATGTACAGTAATTCCCATAGTTGAGGGTCCTTAAGGTAATGCAGGATTTATATCCCTAAACCCTAAGCCCTAAACCCCTATAGATCCCTTAAAAGAGCCCCTTAAAGGTACCCTATAGATCCCCTTAAAGGAGCCCTAGGATTTAGATCATCAACCGTACCGGCAGGTTCGGCAGCCATCGGCACCCGATCGTCTGGAAGAGTCCTCCTCGGAATCGGACCTGGACCCCGAAGAAGCCCTAGGGGGCGTACAGGCGCCTCGCTTTAGGGTTTGGGATTTAGGTTTTAGGGCCGGTTTAGGATTTAGGTTTAAGGTTTAGGATTTAGGTTTTAGGGTTTCGGATTTAGGTTAAGGGTTTAGGATTTAGGTTTTAGGGTTTCTATGGACACTTAAGGGTTGAGGGGACCCTTCGGGGTATATGCAGAGTTATATTAAGGGACGATACTAGGAGGCACAGAGGTGCTTCGGTGAGGTGAACAAGAACGTTTCAAGGTTTAAGGTAATTAATTCTATGGACCCTTAGGCCGTTTAGAGGGATTCTGGGGGCCCTTGCGGATATATATAGGGCATATAACACGCATATAAAGATCCCAGGGTTGAGGGCCCATACTAGGAGGCGCAGGTGCCCCGGCAATGTCAATAAGAGGTTCCAGGATTTAGGGTCTTATTAGGGTACAAAAGCGATGGTTCTACTGCCATCGCTTAACAGCTGCTATTGACATGTTTTTGCGACTATCACGACGACGAACGCAATCATGACGATAGGCATGGTGCTGCACAGAGGAAGAGCAAATGACCAAGGGCATGATTGCATTGATGATTGGTGCTATCCTCCGAGGCTAGCATTGCAATGTTGTTGGTCTTGTGGAAGGTTGTTGATTTTATCCTAGTATGTATGCACATACATATATCTATATATTTATGCGTGTCATATTTGTGCTTATGTGTATACATATAGGCATGCATAGTTTGTCATCGTGCCACTGAAATCCAAGATGATGGCTGCCAGAGTCATCATGTGCGAACATGTTAACAGGTAATTAGTCATCTTAAAACCCTAAACCCTAAAACGTCGCGGTCATGACCGTCATCTCGCTCGGCCGAAGATATCCATGTTCAGACGAGAGATGTTGCACTAGTAGTGGCGGTTTCGCAGTCGTGGTGCTGGTGGCGGCGGTGGAATTAGTAGTAGTAGTAGTTGTTGTTGTGCTAGTGGTCGTGCGTCGTAGCGGTGGTAGTTGTCGTCAAGACCGTTCAAGAGTGAAAAAGAAACAGACCGCTAGACCAAGCTGTGCAGATACCTGTGCTAATTGTAAGTCGCTTTAACTTCCAATCCCAGGTCGAGACGAGTAGCCCTCTCTTCAGCTTTTGGCGGGCAAACACTCAGCCGAAGGCTTGCAACGGCACGGGTTGCACCGGGGTTCCCTGCCTGAGTTCCAACCCTTGAAGCCTAGCCAAAGCGCTAAAATCTTAAAGCCCAAGCCCTAAACCGCTATGATCAGTCCACATGCTGGTCTAGGGTTGTGTGAAGCCAACGCCAGTAGACTGTTTGATGGTTTGGCTTTTGTCTCCTTGCATACTGTGTGAAATTCAGTTTCTCATGGGTGCTTTCGTAGCTGGCCTACTGGGAATTTTGGAAGGCGGCTTGTCACTCATAAGATGGGCTACGCGGTGTGTTGGGCTCAGGGTTGGGACGCGTGGATTGCGGGTCGGTCTCTGCTTTGAGTTCTGGTTTGCGTGCGGCAGTTGGGAACTGCGGCTGGATTCGTTTTCGGTGCAAAGGTGTCGGGCTTTGGTAGGCTCCTGTAGCAAGCCCAAGAGGTTGTTCTCGGTGGTCTGTGCTCAGCAGCTGTGTGTTACGGAGGTAAACTTTGTTGGTAAGGTTTATTGCACGTTCGTGCTGTTCCCTCGTAGCATGGCAGTGCACATTACCCATTTACCATGACAGCTGCAGTTGCAGCAACGAGCAGGCGGCGCAGCGGCAGCAGGAGTAGTAAGTAGGAGTAGGAGTAGGAGTAGGAGTAGGAGTAGGAGTAGGAGTAGGAGTAGGAGTAGGCGTAGGCGTAGGCGTAGGCGTAGGCGTAGGCGTAGGCGTAGGCGTAGGCGTAGGCGTAGGCGTAGGCGTAGGCGTAGGCGTAGGCGTAGGCGTAGGCGTAGGCGTAGGCGTAGGCGTAGGCGTAGGCGTAGGAGTAGGAGTAGGAGTAGGAGTAGGAGTAGGAGTAGGAGCATAGGTATAGGAGTCGGACTGCAGTAGGAGTTGGAGAAGGACTGGGATGAGGAGTTGGACAAGGAGTAGGAGTAGAAGTAGGAGTAGCAGTAGTAGCAGTAGCGATATCGCCTGCAGCACGGTAGCAAGTGGGTGGAACCCTCAACTGCAAGCGTCATTGCCAGGCACGATTTGATTGGATCGCGGGCCGCCAAGTTGCTTTGATCTACAGCACGCAGGGCCATCACGTCAAGGCGCTGACAAAGAAAATCGGCGTGGGTTTGCGATCCTCTTTGTGTCGTTATTCTTGTTGCCGTCATCTAGCATCGTCGCCGCTGATGTTATTGGTGCCGTTGTTGTGTTTGTGGATGTCCGTCCGTCCGTCTGTCTGTATGTCCTGTCTGTCTGTTTGTCTGTCTGTCGGTCGGTCTGTCTGTCTGTCTGTCTGTCGGTCGGTGCGTTGGTTTGTTGGTATGGTGAAAGCCGGAAAGTTGGAAGATGCCAATCCGATTTTCCGACCCCCAAAACACACGGACAACATATCTTCCAACTTTGCAATCCCAGACTATTTTGCCCAAAAGAGACGCCCGGACAATATGATGTGAAGAAAGGATTGCCGGTTTTTTTGGCGTTCTGCAATGGTACACGGATGGATCCGATGAGTGTGGGGGGAGCGGGAAGCTGACTTGGGATGACAAGAAGGCTTACACACAACCAAAGTGGGAAGTGATCCTTAAAAGCGTTTGTCCTCTTGCCGCGAGTGCAGAAGCCTTCTGTAGCAAAGAACTAAGGTTGGAAGATCCGGTTCCGGACCAACCGTTCCATGTCCCAGAGCCAACTTGTCGGTGTTCACTGTAGGTTTGCTTGCTTGTAGGCTGGCTAGCGTGCTGGCCCTGGCTTGCTAGGTAGAAAACCTGTAGGTTGAGTTCAAATCGGGGTTTCCGGATGTCGAAATCCACATCCTACATGTTAGTTCTGATGCAATTCATGGTTTTGCGGCACTTCCTGTTGTATAATCTCCTTCCCATGCTTCACCTTGGAACGCAACTCTCAAACTTCACAGGTCTTTAGAATGGCACTTGCGGCATGAGACTTCTGAAGCTGACCATTCCTGCAGGTTGAGTCATGGGGAAGTGATGAGAGCAACAGTTCCGAAGCGGCCGCTGGGTCAATGTTGCGATTTGAGCCAAGAAGCTGAAAGCCCACAGTCAACAACAGAAACTAATACGATATAGCATGTAATATTTAATATCGAGAAGATATATCACATAACAGATCCATTTAGCATAGATTGTAATATATATATATATATATATATATATATATATGTATATATGTATATTTATATATATATATATATGTATGTATATGCACACACACACACATGTAATGTACTAGACTCTCAACTATCGCCAAATTGTCCTGGAGCACAATCAAGGAGAGAGGAGGTAGAGGTCCCGACGAAGAACGGGTGGCAACTTCTCTGAGCCTCGGAAACACGCACTTCCAGATCAAGTTGAGGCGAAGGAGTTTGTGAAAAGTGCACGTAAAGGGTTTAGGGTTAAGGGTTTAGGGATCGAGAGAGGGGGAGTGAGGGAGAGAGAGAGTCAGAGAAGGTGACATACAGACGGAGCCGAAAGGAGGCAGGGATAGAGAGCGTGCGTGTACGTGAAACACATGTGTGCAGACAGGCAGACGGACAGACAGACAGACAGACGGATGTGGGCTGCCGTGGAGTCATGATGCATGATGAGGGAACCCGTCGGAATTGCCAACGTGTTTCGAAACTGCGGGATCGGGAGATGTCTGTGGATATGTTTGTACACACATACATACGATTACATTACATTTTGTTACACTGCATTACATGCTAATGCGCAGTATATCAGATCGGTTTGGAGGACCCGGCCCACATGCGATGAAGAACACAAAGAGCATGATGGCCCTCTTCTGCCTTCAGGCTACAAGTACTTTGCATTGATATGCCGGGGATGGTGATGTCGGTGATGTGATAGTGGCAGCGCTCGATGTTTCATTTGTCGCAGGTGTTGGTAGTCCTTCTTTTTAAACGTCTATTGTGATCAATCCTGCTTTCTGGCATCGTTTTTTAGCCTAGCTATGGTTCAAGCACTTGCGACAGATGAGCACCCGAATCACGAATACAGCCTTTATCAGCGGAAGGAACGTTAACAATCAGGAGTCTGGTCCCTTAGGCTCTTGAAAGTCAAATTATCCGAACAGCGGGGTTTGGGGTATTATTCTTTTTTTATGTTTTTTATTTGAGAGTTTCCGACAGCTAGGGGCACCTTATTCGGGGGCCTTATAGTCAGGATCCGACTGTTTAGGGTACTGGATTGGTGTCCCCTATTTTCGCAAACTCCCATCTGGGCCCTTGGACCCTATCGGGTGCTCATGAAATAGCCATCGACTTCAGGCAAAGTGGCCAATACCCCTTAATTAAGGAATATGGCTTAAATTATAAAGGGCTTCATATTATGATTTAAGCCATATTCTTTAATTAAGGGGTATTGGGCTCTCTGGGAGGCAAAGTGGCCAATACAAGCGCATCGATGAAGCAAGGAGCTTTCAGCCTCTGCTGCTGTTTCTCGGTGGATATCTTTGGTTTCTCTACTGGTCCATGTACCCAAATAGTATATACGTTGGCCGTAAAGTAGTTCCTTTTTTGGTTTCTTTGCGGCCAAAGCTCAAACTATTTGCGTACATGGACCCTCAGGTTTTGTGGGGCTTCCAGCGGACAGCCCTTAGGATTGGAGTTTCTGCGAAGGTTCTAATATCTAAGCCAAGCCCTAAACCCTAAATCCCGCATATTCTGCAGCTGTCACGGACTGGAGTCTGTCGGAGTAGAACCCCAAATCTGAAATGACCTAATAAGTAAAGACTTGTGTACTTTTCATTTACATATATATATATATATATCTATGTATGTACATACATCTTTTGATCAGCACGTGGAGCACCCATCTATCTATCTGTCTCTCCCTGTGTGTCTATATACATATACAGATAACAAACGGCCATGCATATATGTATATTTTCGCAAATAGATAGCTGGCTAGGTCTGTAGGTTGGTAGATTGGTAGGTAGGTAGGTACAACAAACAAATAGGTAGGTAGATAGATACGAGAGTACGCCACACCAAAGGCAGCCCCCAACAGCCTGAATCCTTCGATATGGCCATGAACCTTAAACCCTAAACCCTGTAACCCTATAACCATAAACCCTAAACTAAACCCTAAACCCCAAACTAAACCCTAAACCCTATTCTAGAGTCCTTAGTCACCCGCTTTGAGGTGTATTTTTCGACGGGTGGCCCTAATTCTTTTGCTACTCCAAGGTTTGGCGGTTTTAGGGTCTAGAGTGAAGGGATGTTGACTTAGGGTTAGATTCAACATTCGAGATTGCTGTTCGAATCGTCAACAGGACTGTGCCAGGCAAATCAAGCACCGGTCCTTCACACGAGCCCCATACCCATGTCCGAAATCCCATAGCCCACTCAGATTTTGCTTCGGCGATGGTGGCAGTGGCTACACCCCAGGACGGAAGCCAGCCGCAGCACGGCGTAGGCCCGTGCTTCTACAAAGCCAGGTGGGAAGATGAAAAACGTGGTAACATGAATCGGCAGAAGTCGCAGATGCTGTGACTGACAATGGAGATTGGT